ACTAATTACCCATCATCAGAGAATTACATCCTCCGGTTTTCCATCCACAAAAATCCCTTTATTTCTTGATTCCCACACACAAAAAGAACATTAAAATATCTTGTTCTTTAATTATATCTTTTAATGACTACTTGTAAAGAACTGAGAATCTAAATCATTCAACTGCTGCTGGCAAATTGCTGATTGGCTGAATGGAGTTTTATAAGTTGTATTATTTGTCACTTTTGAATACTTGAACATCAGCTATCTAATGTTTAGTGGCCATTTATCAGTTAAAAAATGTGCCGCAGACAGACATTTAGTCTTTAATTGGGACAACAAAACAAGATGTACATGGTTTAATTATATATATAACTTTTGGACTATATATATATATATAATGTTATCTCATTACTAAAATTAAGTAAAGCACTGCATAACTTTGTTTCTGATTAAAGTAACTTTATTACCATGACATATTGTTTACAAGCTTCAAGATAACAAACCAAATAATTCTGGGATCCACTTAACAGGATTTAGTCATTTTATATGCACTTAAGACGTCTTTATTATGTGTAAAAACCTCACAATATATGTGAAAATATTAGCAAACTGGGTGAGCTTTTGCACCAGTTCTGCAGTACGTAATGTGTGTTTGTGTGTGTGCTGCAGCAGTGTGGCCCATGACAGCCAGAATGAGGGGACGTGTAGGAGCCTGGGCGAGCCCAGCAGCAGAGCTGGCAGCCAGTCAAAGTCCTGAAGTCCTGAGACAGTCAGCATTGCAGCATCATGAGACATTCTTAATCAGGTGGGCCTGCTCCTTTGAAGAGCATTTAACTGTGCAGGAAACACAATATTCCCTTACTGAGATCACTAATACAGACAGAAAACGAATACAAATGTGGAAAATGCTGGCTGAATTATTGGAGGCCTGTTCACCAGATGCACAAGGCACAGATATTGAATGAAAAAAAAAAAAAAGTTTCATCTACACTGACTACTGTGTCTGGGGTTTCAGAAAACCCATGCATGCTTTTCTCCTCTCCCTACCACCATCCCCCCCAACCCCCACCCCTTCGTTCCCACTCGGTGTCTCATGCACTTTCCTGGACCACCAACAAGGTCTCGCTTGGAGGAGCAGCTCATGGGTGTCCTTCAGCCACATGACCAGCAAAGGAGCCAATCAGCTGATGAGTTCCAAACCACGAGAGGGTCTCTGTGGCATGTCGCACATAACATCCATCCACTCTCCTGAGGCCGCCTGGGTCACTGAGCAATGTTCTGGGAACATCACAAAGACGCTGCTCAACTTCTGTCTCTCTCGCTCCGCTTGCCCCTTCATCTTTCCCTCGCTATCTTTACTGGTGTGCCCTCTGCTTTCCCTCCCTCTCTCACCCCACCCCTTCTCTCATGAGTCGGAGCCAGCTGAGCGTGTTACCCAAATCCAACAGTTGTTGCGGCCTTCGTTAGCCTAACGAAGGGGCCGGCTCTTTATACTTGTCAGGGAGCAAATGAGTCAAACAAACAAGGGCCAGGGAAGAGGGGAGGACAAGCGAGCGCTGCTCTGTTGAGCCTCACTGGGTTCTTGGCCGCAGCACTTCCCAGGAAACTAGGGAACCCACAATCTGCCTCTTTGAAGTCTGATGATGCTCTGGCTTTGATGGAAACTTTGGAAAAACACACTTGCAAAAAGAAATAACATGCTGCTCGGTCTCTGTGGCCACTAGAGGCCGTAGGCACATTCAAAGTGTGTGGGTGCACTCTGTGAAGGATCTAAAAGGGAAGTATCATTTGGGGACGCATAACAACTGGTTATGATAGTAACAACAAAGTTACAGTGTTTTTGCAAGCCTGTACTTGCGATGCGGTCGGTGCATAAGGGCACTGGGTAATGTCCTGCTGGCAGGGTAACTTCTGAATAAATATGCTTCACACTGTCCATACACTCACACATTTGCATATGCATGTCCAGACGTACGCACACACTACCCCCCGTCCTACTCGGCATTCCAAAACTGTCCTTCCAAAACAGACAAACAAGATAACAGTCACAACAACACATCCCAGGCAGTGTCCACAATCCAGACACATTACTGCAGCACAAGGCTTAAGGAGAAAGTATGAAGGTGTGTCCTTCAGAATGAGATCATTTCACTGAGCGCAGCCTGTCTGGAACAAATGTACGGAGCACTCCAAGGCTGAGAATCAGCAGCTCTAATGACAGATTAGCTCTACTGGAGGGTTTACAGGGTACTGAGGCACAATGCTTGCTCTACTTTCTTTCATGAGCCTGCACACAATTTGCATGTGCATGCTAAACATGACTAATCAGATAGGAATCAAAGCGCGAGAGTGAGTGGCATGGATGTGTTCAGCTGACGTGCCAGAGCTGCTGCGCTCTGCGCCTGTGACTGGCCCACCATGAAATACATCAACACCATTAAATGGGCATTACTGGAGGGCAAATGCACATTTTAACTGTACCTGCTTTTGATAAGTTCCATGCAAACTAGTTTGGTGCTAGTCCATGGAGCACACACAAAATGTTGATGGAAATATGGAGGGCTATCTTTTGTAAAACATTAAATTGGTGTTTTGAGTGCACACATGGGAGTAATGAGCATGGTGAACACACTTGGAAGCGGTATAAGCCATTTATTATTACGCCTACGTGGAGATGTGAGTCACTTGGGTGGCGCCACCACACAAAAAAGCTCCTCTCAAGGTGCAACATGAGATGATAGTGGTTGAGTGGGGGCTACCTGGCTGAGGTGATGGACAGCAAGACAGGGCTACTGCAGGTTCACCTTCTGTGCAGTCGCTCTGGGGCAAAGACTGTATGACAGTGACGCGACACTAAAAGCCTTCCTGTCAAGGAGGCAGGTGGACGCCCTCCAATCAAAACACAGAGGCTCTGGGTGACATTTCACAGGGCACAGCTGCTGGGCTGCGACAGCATGCCAACTCACTATTCCTGAAGGGTTGTTTGTTTAGTGTGTGTGTGTGTGTGTGTATGAGTGTATGTCACAACTAGAAGGGTGTCACTGCTAGAACTGTGTGTGTGTGTACACTACTGCCACACTACTTTGACTGTTTTTCTACCAGTCACTATTTGACTACTCTTAAAGTTATATTTTACACTGGCTCTCTATCAGAATCTTCCGTTCTTATCAGTGCTGGCAAAGGTGTTGAAAAAAAGGACATGTGCCAGTTATGTGGCACCAATACAGAGAAAGTGAAACAAACACCAGAAATAACTGTGATAATACAACTCAGACTGAATGACACGTCAAACTCTTGACTGTCGTGCCTAACAAATACTATTTTACATGTTCCCTTCCAAAGAAAGGATCTTCCTGTTCTCATTTTTCCCTGAAGTGAAACACAATGATACAGTTTGCCTCGAAAGCCTCTGACACACGACAGAACTCTAATTGATAACATGAATTTTGCTTTACAGGCTTTTATGAAGAGCTGAAGGAAATGCAAGGTTGTGGATTAGATAAAACTCTATATTTTTGTCAACTACTTGACAAACTTAACTTTGTAGCATTGGTCCATACTGCTAATGAAACACTAATAGCACCCAACATTTTATCCTTTCACTCACTGGAAGGACCAGGGCGTGTCTGCCTGAGACCAACTGAGCCGAACCAGGCTGACCCTTTCCTAAAACAGCAGCCTGTTATGCTCTTAGCCCAAGCCTTGAGGAGGGGGGGGTGCGGGCTAGCACACCACAGCGGCACACTGTTCCCCCCAGAGTCCCAGGAACTCTCCTAGTGACCTGCTCCCATCACCTTATCCCCTGAGTGAGAGTCTTGGTTTCCCCGTTTCCAGTAAAAGCCTTGTTCCTTGGCACTGGGCCCGGGAGCCTTCATTGGTTTTGGAGAAGTTCCTTATCCTATTTAGCCCCTGGTGGTGGTGGAGGCGGTGGTGGTGGAGTGGGCTCCGTGAAGCAGCCGCAGTTTGAAGGCAGAGTTAGTATGCACACATAAAGCTGCTCAAAGCCAGCAGGTATGTGAGGAATGCCTCTTCGTCCAAACAACAGTACTCACGCCCGACACAGAGCCACGCCACGCCACACAGCGCTGTCAGAGCAGCTAAATGGGGCCCACTGGGGACTCTGCAGCTGGATTGCTCTTTACATTAGATCTGGAATACAGCCTGTTTAAATACGGTTACCCGGTGATCAATCACCTTGCACATATGTCATTCGGTTTAAGGATTTAAAAAACAAATCTGTGTACTACAGTAAACTCTCAAGTAATCCAAGAACCCCAGGAATGAAGGTAATGTGGATTTGTTAAATATTTCAACAATTAGTGTAAAAATTTACATTTTTAGGGCGTACTCCATTTATGCACCAATGAGTACACATAACGGATGGATGAGAGGGAGGGAGGGAGGGAGGGAGGGAGTAAAGAGGTTAGGTTCAGATGGAGGTAAGAAGTTTTTAATTTCCAAATTAAATAAAAAAAATTAAAACTTTCTAAAATCTAAAATCTAAAATCTTTGGTTTTTCTGTGTGTATTTATTTTCTTTTTAATTTCTTTTGTTGTTGTTTTGGTTTTTAAAGTTATTAGGTGAATGTAAATATATGTATAGTTGGGACTACTTTAGTGAACAGATGTAATGATGTTGTGCAAAGTCATCATAATACTACTATATAATGCATCTTCCGCAATGAATGTAAATGTTGAACATTTGGTCCCAAAAAAACAACTAACAAATATATTTGAGGGTCTTTGCATATTTTGTGTTCTTGGCCAACATGGTCAACTCACAAGTTTGCACAGTTGGGGTTTCCAGTACATGAGGTGATGACTATACTACATCTCTATTGAATTGTAAAAAATAAACAAAAGGAGAAACCATAGCACATAAAATATGAGTTGCATACGGTATTTGTCTTATTTCACTTTGGTTTCAAGCACAGCAAAGTGCAGTTACATTCCAAACAATCACACATTAAACTCTTGACGGATCAAACTACGTAGTGAAAACTTCATCTATGCATTTACCTCTTTTATGCAGCCATCCCTCCTTGACAATCACCACATTGGTCATGTTGGTGGGCAGGGTGGAGGATCCAGGTTTCCCACAGGGAGAGACACAGCTTTGTTTCCCAAGTTTCCTTCACTCAGCCCTGTGCAGGAGCCTGGAGACGGGGTCCTGGGGTTTACAGCCGCCTTCTCAATGGTGGTTACCTATTAGTTGGAAAAGAGTAAAAATTAGCCCCATATTGAGGTGAAAGATTTTTTCCACTTGTCTGAATATTAACCCTCAGATCAACATTGTAGATGAGAGGCAGTGGATTTGAGCTTTATGGCCCAGTTAGTGGAGGATATGCTAAAACCACAGTTCAGTCCCTTTCACATGTGGAACCTGCAACATTGCAAGGTTCAAATATCTGTGTAAGGCCGTGGTTTTTGGCATTCACAACCAAGTCTCCCCGTATTGGAAAATTCCATGCTGTTCACACACACGGCACAACCATTCCTGGGTTTTTTTCTGCACATGACCAGAACAAAGAATTTTAAAAATGATTTTGCAGTTGCATGGCTGCTTATCTTAATGGTTTAGCCAGCAGTATATTTTGGATCTTATTTATTTATCCTATGCATCATGATGTGCCATGAGGATTTTTTGATGTGCATTTTGCTAGATTTTCATACTGTTAGTAGGTCGCAACAGAGTTAAACATTTTAGGGGTTTTGTTAATCAGTTTGATGAGCATTATGTTTTTGTCTGTGTTGAGCATAGTGTAGAATGTGAGTTTCTGAGGGGGGATGGCAGGGACTATTATTGACTAAAACTTGGACTGGACTGGATGACGGACTTAAAGGGCCTGAACACAAAATTATTTTCCAATCTCTATGTTCTGAACAGAGCCCTCCCTCGGGTGCTCCGTTGCATACCACAGTGAAGTTAAACGTGAACGTGGAAAGTACTATTACAATTTCCTTGAAAAAATATTAGACGTTGATCATTAAATTCACTATATTACATTATTTATGACCATTCTGAACTTGTATCACAGAAAAAACATGAAGAACGCAGGAACGACCAGGTACATTTTCACAGCTCCTATTACTTTAAATGTATTCATTTATATTATTTTTACACTTTACATTTTTTATGCTAAAGCAGGAATGCAAACATGTTTTATTCTTTTCATAAATCAGAAAGCCCCTTTAATGCAACCACAAATGACTTGCTTCACACAAAATAAATATATACTAAATATATGAATGATCAATATTGTGCTGGAGATCATGTGAGATGATCAAAAGCCCCAAAACCGCTACTAAATGGCCTTTGAGATGAGATTGTTTTATTAACTGTAAAATCATCATGTTGACTTTACACAACCTGATCAAAATATTCAGTGGCTCCAGAAAAAAAAAGTTTTTTTCACCACAACTCCATGACAACTGGGCAAAACCCATCTGCTGATGGAGATCATGTGATATGATTGAAAGCTCCAGAACAGCAACTAAAACGAGCCTCGGGGTGAGATTGTTCTGTTAACAAACTAAATATGTTGTGAAGTGAAGGCACATTGTTTACTGCGAGGGTGAACACAACATAGATAACGTGTGTGAACTGTGGGTGTTACTGTTTTTATTCACACCTGACCAGTGGCGGAAGCATTACGCCAAACTGCCAGCGTCATGTTTACAGAGCAACAACCTATTGACACATGAAACAGAAATGAAACAAACTGCAGTCACATTTACATAGAGTGTGAGCAGAAAAACTAAATACACGTAGAAGATCAAGTTAAAGCAAAAGTCTTACCTGTTTAAACTAAAGTCAAAACATGTGATATAGGATAAAATTGCACTGACAGTCATCTGATAGACCAAAAAGGGTTTGAATTCCATCACAGGCTTATTGGCTATTCATCAACGGCACATACTAAAAACCTGCAGGCTATCACAACAAAAACACTCGACCTTTTGATTCATTCAGTGCTTCTTTATGATATAAAGATAGCTTTGAATGCAGGGCAGAAGCACAAGAATTATCAATTGCCAACGCTTGTTCACACAAATGTCACATATTGCACCAGGCAATCTCTGACCGTCGACTAAAATCAATTTGCCTGCTGCTGCTCTATCAGAGTAAGGCCATCAAAAGAGAGCTCTGTTTGAGTGGCCCCATCCAGCTTACTGGTGGGGACAACAACAGGAAGTGGATGTGACTATTGACAGACTACGAGTCATATCAGTACAGCCCCAGGCTCGAACACATCAGTCAGTGAATGTGCGATCGACACGCCTTTTACTGCCATTCTGCTCACACCCATCAATGAGCAGAAGTGAGCTTATGAAAGCGCAGTTTATTTTTGCTCAGTGTTTTTGTTTATTGCTTGGGGTTGTGGTGCTTATGTCACACAGTCGATGTTGGAAGGATCTTGGAGAGGGATTTGAAAAAGCACACTGAGTGCTATTCAAACTAGGGATCACACAAACCGTTGGATCCCTTCAGCATCTTAGTGTGTACTCTGTGTGACACAGGCACGCACACATTATATACACACTGGGATACATCACACAAACAAACTTGAGCGCGCACACCACAGCCAAGAAAGCAACACATGCACAAGACCGGCTCTGGAGCCACAACAGAGCGCTGCTGTTTTAATGGGAGCGACCTGTTGCTACTGGGGCCTGTGTGGAAAAGCTGGGCTGCTGCCAGCGCTGCAGCCAGCAGCCACTGAATGAACCCAGTACCCTGACAGTCAGTCACATGGTCCTCAGGCCTCTGGGCCACTGCCTGCCTGCCTGCCTGCCTGCCTGCCTCCTGCCCGCCTGCCCGCCCTGCTGTCAGCGGAGCTTTCAATCATTCATCTTTCTGGCTCCAGCTCAGGGGGCCACCCATTCAATGCAAATCAGTGTCATGCAGCAAAGATGCGGCACACTGAGCCCGACACTGGGACACAGAGGACAGTACCATGTGTTTATGGCAGGAAGCAGAAAATCAGGCCGACATCACCACACTAACTTCCTTTATCTCAGATCGATAGATACAAGTCTGTTTTTGCTCTATTTTCTGCTGCTGCTTGGGTAAACAAGAGAGTCAGCAGCTGGTTTACGGTTCCAAAGACAGAACATTACACTCAAGTATTTGAAACGATTCAACGAAATGCGAATATCAAATATGCTCACCTGTTGCTGGAGAACAGTCTCTGAAGCTACACTTGGTTTGTGTTCAAATGCCACAATGGAACCAGTGCTAGTGTGATCTACACAGTGCCAAGTTCCTCTTTCAGGTTCCCTGACAACACATCACCAATGATAAGAATACTGTGGGTAGGTGCAGCTGAATACCAAACCACAGCCACTGTAACCTTCAAAGCTGAGTACACCCAGTGCTTTAATCTTGTAATGACATGGACAGTAACCCCTATATGTTAATGTATTCATTCTCATGCTGTTCAGACAGGCCAGGAACTAAATTGAGGATAGATCACAAAGCTGGACTCCGATATATACCAAGCACTCATTCTGTCCCTTAAAAGGGGAACTGGATAGCACACAGAGGACCTCAAAGTCTCTTTGGTTTGTTGCAAATCAAATTACCTTTCCGTTAAGGTGTGCAACCAGTAAACAAGATGAATGAAACGAGTATTTTAGGCTGCGGTGTTCTCAGTTTTGTGACGCAGACCGAGAAGAGTACCGTCATGTGATGCTGGCGGTGGGCTACCATCATTAGCAGCGTATCCTCCCCAGTGATAATACATGTAAACCCCTGTGGCTTAGGCTGGGGGGGGGGGGGGGGGGGGGCAGGCACAATAAGTCTCCCTGTGTACAGGGACAACAATTTCAAACAACATTCCTCAGATTCTGCATGCAACTGGTGACACATTTGCGTCAAAGGGGCTGCGAAGGGATTGGGTGGGAGGTGACTGGTATTTTCTAAATAGAACAGGGAGAGCCAAGCAGTCACTGGCTGCATCATTTCGCCAGCTTGTTGCGTCTTCCCCGGGTCACATGCCAAGTCTCCCTGCGTACACACACTGGACAGACGTAGTCTCATGACTGATAAAAACATTTTGACACTAAAGGCGCTACGGGTACAACATGCCCAGGGACAATGTCCTCTTTCCAGACTGCACATGCATGTGTAAGCCATGGGAGGTAGAGACAGACATCAAACATAGTAACATCAACATCATAAGTACACTGAAGCTTTGCATTGTGCCTTAAAAACCTGTGCTGCTAGGATGTGCGGCTGACAAACCTTTTCATTTTCACTCCCACCCTATCCTTCACATCACAGACCCTTCAACAATAAACCTTCTTCACAGAGTTCCTGTAGTTAGCAATAATTTAGCAAAATAAAAGCCTAACTGTCCTCATTGTAGGTGGGATGAGTGAGGACAGTAAAACAGTTACACACACACTTAGCAACTGTACTGATTACAGGAGGGAGGAAAATGAGAAAATAACTCCATTGTACCTTTTCTTTATGACCTCCCTGCTGTCCAAACTTTGGACCTAAAAAGGCTCGTAGGCCCCATTTTGAGAGCCACCACAGGGTCGAGTCACAACAAGAGATGCACCCACTGCTCTTCATCATTAAATGTGGATGCAACTGTGCTACAGCAGAGCAGCAACAAGCTAGCAGGGCTAACGACTAAACGTAAAATTATTGCCTGGCAATAAATGTCTCAGTCAAACAAGTAAACAAACGCAGTGGTAAGTCCCTAACAATGAATGAGCGGCTCTCTCGTTGAGCTCATTTGTTTTCATTTGCCTGCTGGGCCAGAAAGTACAAGCAAAAACAACTTTCTCGTGGAGGTGAACCGCTTAAAGTAACACATTTTGGCCCGAGGTGTTGTCTCAAAAGTGGTCATTGTCCCCAAAAAACAAACAAAACAACAAAAATATGAATGGTTAACATCTGAAGAGAGAGTCGCTGTTGTTTGTGGAAGACAAAAAAACACCAAAACAAACAACAACAACGCGCTACAATCTACGACAGGACGTTTATGAGCTCTCCGCAGCTAAATAACTTCCACGGCGAAGTGGAGTCAGGAAAGTACCTCATTTCAGGTTTGCATTTAGCGATAGAAAGGATATGGGGCCTAGCAGGGCAGCTTGGGTGAGAATAACCGCATCCCATGTAAGTACAATGGGGACCTACCCTGTCTAGCTGTCGACCTCTTGTAGTTAACCATGCGAAGGAAACGCGGACATTTACCTGGACAGGAATTCAACAGTGTGTCCGTCTCATTATAGTGGGCTGTTTCGGCGGTATATTAAGTTGATGAGTCCTTCAACAATCTGGACAAAAGTGCTCTCATTTACTCCGTTTCTTTGCCTTTCTTCCACTACACCTCCCAAACGCGCTGTCTGCAATGCCTCTGTGGCAGCCTGCTCTCCCGGGTCCTAGGGCCGACCCTGTTTATGAGCCACTCTCATAGGAGGAGTAGTAGGCTGTCAGCCGTCCCATTGAAAAAATCCTGCAGTGTTGCTATAGAGGCTTATTAAGGGCTGCATGGCCTTGTTGAACTCGTTGCCTTGTTTTATGTGTGCCGGTGGTTTCCAAATATGAGGCCACGGGATCTACAGAGGTCCCTGTAAGGTTTCCAGGGGATCCTCAGGCTGTACAATGAGGGGTATCTCTGTTTTTCACTCCCTGGAACAATCACATGAGATAAAGTAGTGACTAGGTAGCTATTTTGCCAATTTCTTCACAATGTGATATAGTAGTTCTGTAGCTAATAATTATTTTCATTATCAATTATTGTGCAGATTACTTTCTTCATTAATTGGTCTGTGAAATGTAAGAAAATGGTGAAAAATTTAAAAAATGCTCATCACAATTTTCCGAGGCCAAAGTTGCAATTTATATTTTGCATTTTTATAATATGCAGTTTACTATTTACTAGAAGACAAGTAAATATTCAGATTTGAGGAGCTGGAACCGGTGACTTTGGGGCATTTGGGCTTTAAGTTGATATTAAAATTAAACCACTATTTGATTATACAACAAATCATTTCTGGTCTAGACTGTAGACAGTTGTTTAATAGGCCTACCCCTTAAAATGGTCAAAAGTCATTTAAAATGTAAAATGTAATTTAAGAGTGCAATGTAACCATTTCAAGCAGCCAAGTTGCAACTCAAAATTGTACTAAAACATACAGAGTTCACTTTAAATGCTAAATAAAATTCTGTACATTTAAATAAACACATAAATAAAAATATCACCACCACAGAACAGTGTAGAAAGGGGGATTTCTAAAACGTAAAAGATATATCAGCAAAGGAGAAGTTCATACCGTGGCCATTGTTTGGTGACTGCATAATGTCATTTTTACACCCCCTGCCTTCAAATTTGTGTAACCAATTATAAGTAGTGTCATAAGTATTTACCTTCACATTCAAGTGGCTAAACACCTTTTGTTTAAGAGGAAAAATCTAAACAAAACAAAACCAAAATTCATAAAAATAAAAGATTAAAACTAGGATAAAATAATGAAAATAACAAAATAAAAAGTAAATAATTCCATACAAAAGGCAGGCAAAAGACGGCTTCAGAGAGCCAGGAGCAAAAGTTTTTGTCTTTGTTTCCGCACGACCTGGTGCTTAAAAGCATTTCAGACATGTAGCGCTGTATAATCTAATACAATTATATTAAAATCAACTTGAAAAAAGTAACAGGTAACCACTGTAAGCAGTGCAGGCATGGTTGTGATTCTGCTGCTGGTCAGCATTCAAGCTGCAGGCTTCCTGCAGTGATTTTTGGATTATTTCTGGAGAACATTACAGCAGTCAAGTCTGCTGATGCTAAGAAAGCATTTTTTCCCTCTGAGTTGCCGTGAGGAAATGGCCATTGACATTTCCAATAAAAGGCCACGTAAGCCATGAAGTGAAGTTCTGAATCAAACATAACATTTAAGATTTCTTACTTTGAGGCCACTGGTAAATCCTACTACAAACAGTTTTATAACTATTATCTCTTTTTTGGCACTTTAGCACATCAGTTCCATCTTGGCTGAGATGTAAACAAGTCTTCATCACTTCTACTGAACCTGCATATGAACAGATCCATCTCCGTGATAAATAAGCAAACTTCATTCCACTAAGGAAGACTGTGATACAGTTAAAGGGTAAGGGTTAGTAAATTGAGCTTAAGCTGGCATTGTTTTGTCATTATTTCCAGGATCAAGAAGGAGGTCACATGCTTAATATTTACTAAACGCCACTAGGTGTATCAACTGGTATTGCAGCAACATAAAGTTATACTACATCGATACGACAGATATGAGAGAACATGTGTGTCCTGATGAAACTACAGAAGGGAAATGTCAAAGCATTAATATTTTTCTGTGAGGTTACATCAAATTATAACCCTGCTTGTTATACCAGATCATTATCTTATTTAGACAGTCATCTAAAAACCTGCTGGAGACGGAGGAGTTAAACCAGTTTAGGACAAGTACAGACAGGCCAGCTCAGTCAGACTTAAAAGAAGTCAGGGATCCTCTGTATAAAATACATCCCTTAGATGACTTGGTCTACTTGGCCTGTGTCTAATATATTTTTCAATGGTTGTCCTTCACATTAAATGTTTCAATGACATTTCTATTATATTCCTATAACCTTTCAGTTATATTTGTGATCTTTTTACAGTGTACTGTATCTTTTTTTTTGCACAGCATAGTCTTCTTTAGCAGCTTTGCTATGAGTGTGGTGAAATATGTATGATATAAAAATGCAAGACAATGATTTTGAAAGGTTGTGCAACAATTGAAAAATGATGTTTCAAGAACAGGATAGCAGGGACAGCTGCCAGTGTTCCCTCCGTGATGAAAAACTTATCGGCCTCTGCCCTCTTTCTCTCAGCCTCCTCTGTTGTCATTTCCCCTCTTTGTCACTTACACTGTAATGTGTTCCTCACTGCTACTATGTGTCAGCCTTGCCAAGCTGTTCCTGTCATACAAACAGAGCAGAGTGAGGGTATCCCATATTTTCTGCTGTTGTTATTCAGTGGTGCCCTCTTCCTCCACCTCCACCCCTCCTCCTCGCTGTCTCTGGTCCAGTGATGGGAATGCCTACCCTGTTGTTTTGCAGGTTCAAAGCAAAAGTAACAAGATCAAAGAGTCAAAGTGAGTTAATAATGTCTTTCCTGTCCTGATTTCTTTTTTTGTCTGCTTGCAGTGTCTGTTCAGAATATAACAAACAGAAGAGAACAGAACTTAATGGGCTGTTGAAGGAGAATAGATAACATGTGGTAGCAACAATTAGACACAGAAGGGCAGGAGGGCCATAATAGTGAGGAAGTGGTGGGGGGTCTGACCAATACAGTATCTCCCGGCAACTGCAGTGCAATGTTGCTTCAACTGTCACATTATTTTCCAGGATGTATTATCCACCTGTTATGCAGCTTTGCCTACAGAAACAAGGATTTAATGTTGGATACACAGAGAGTTTGTTGAATTGTATAAAGGATTTCCCAGCTTGTTGTCCTCTAAGTTTACCATGCATTAAAAAATCCTTAAGTCAAGATAATTCAATTTTATTTACACATACAAATCTTTACAATCTGTTTTAGACCCTTTTAGAATTCATATAAGAGAAATAAAAACGTTAAACAGGAGAATACAAACAGAAGGAGGGGGTACACTTACATAAAAATAACAAGAAATAAGTATACAAATTATACAGACTGTACAGTGGAGTCCAAATATGGTGTTATTTAGTTTATTCAAATATGAAGCATAAATGGGGTGTGCAACAGTATGGCATTGTGTAAAAGAGTATAAAAGACAAAACCGAAACCAAGGACAAATATAGAGGGACACTTATTGACTAAAAAATAAAATATATATAATATCTCTATCTTGTTAAAGATTAAACAACTGACTGTCAGTAATTATAACCACATGCTGTGCAGCCAAACATTGTTCAAACTCACAAAACTTTATTTTAAATTCTTTTGAAGATCCAAAGCTTTTCATTTGTGAAAAAAGTGTTTAAAATTGTGCTCACAACATCGAGGATATTTCCTTGGAGAAATAAGAGCGAGAGCAAGCTGATAAACAATACACAATGCAGATTATTTCCAACATAAAAGCATCTTAAAAGAAGTTAAAAATGGGAGAGCCATATTTTGAAAGGTTTTAAGATTACTTTTAGGATGCATTATAAGCATCCTCAGACTGACATCTACAGCACAACTCAAGCCCACCCCCATGGTGAGACTTCGGTCCAGTTGAGGAGAGCGATGTGGTTCAACCGTGGCTGGATGGCTGGCTGGTTGGCCGGTCAGGCTACACTGGAATGCGGGGTCTTTTGTTTGTCTGAGAGAGGAGTGGGTCAGGGGGAGAATGCCATTGATGATTGCAGAGAGGAAGAAAGAACCTCCAGGAAGTGTTCTCTCTCTCTCTCTCCCCCCGCTCCCCCACTCTCCCACTCCCATTCTCTCTCCCTCTCCCTGTCTCTCTTTCTCTCTCTTTTTTTCTGTGTGTGAGAACCTTCACCGTGCCGAGCCTCTCTCTCTGAGGCCGCGGTCCCCAGGCACAACCACTGCTTTGTCTTGCCCTGTGAACACACACCCCTCCTCTCCTGGGCGCCTACGTTTGCCAGGGCCAGGGAAACACAGAGCCACTGCTCCTATTCTTATCCACATCGCTGCTCCTGCATGGATGGTGTGTGTGTGTCAGCGCTGAATGGTAAATTGTTTTTCACGTGGCACACACACATCTGATGCCTCAGTATAAACATTTAGTTAACTGGTGTTTTGTCAAAAGTGAGAAGTTATTCAGAACCAATTATGCTCTTCGACCAAATAAAGAGAGTTCTTATTTGGGGATCATGCCTATATGATCATCTGGACATGACCAGAGTGCAGATATCCAGCCTCTGTAACAGTAACAGCCAGACTAAAAATGGAATAAAGCAGTAAGTGGATAAGAATCTAGCTGGTGGCCCCTTTCGACCAGTGGCTGCCGCCTCCCGTCACATTGCTCATTCCCCTCTGTGTCAGAAGGCTACGAGGAGCTGCAAATGGCCCTTTCAAAACACACGGCAGCTGGAACACAGGGCAAAGGTGACCGAAGCAGTTGGGGGAGCACAGGGAGGGACAGGAGGAGGAGGAGGGAGAGGGGAGAGGGGGGCACAAGATGAGCAGCTGCAACCTCGAGCCCCTTGTTCCTCCACTGTGCCACCATCTCTAGCTTTAACAATTACAGAACAGACTCCGGAGACTTTTTTCCCCCCTTTTTTCTTTTTTGAGAGTGCCTGAACAAATTTGTGACTTTTTTTTCTCCAAACTTGGTCCACATAAATCAGCACAACTCCTGTCTTAAGACAATTTAGGCCAAATAAATCACAGCCAGGAGCTGGTGTGGTCTGGGAAAACAAAGGCACTGAGTGGTGTGGTGCCAGCAGGGAATTCCACAACCCAAAGCAGGATTAGAGAGAACAGCCCTTAAAAGTTCCCAATAGTGCACCGACCCTCCAAATCACAAAGCATGATTTATAATTCTTTGTATCCGTTCAGATACTTTCACAAATAGCCGATACAATTCTGTGTGAACAAAAAGTGTTTCTTTCATCCACATAAAAGCAGACATAAAAAAAAAAACACAGACAGGCAACATTTTTGGCAAGCTTGCAAATCAAATTTACATTCTAGAACTTGAACTTTTTAAATCCCATTATCTTCAAACAGGCCTGGATGCAAAAGGAAATAGCACACAGGATGTGTTTCTTCAAACGAATAACGCAGTTAAACTGGCGACTTTAATGATTAGAACATTTTCCTTGAAGCAATATCTTACAAAAAAATGTTTTTTAGTCTAAAACTCTATGTGTTGTCAGTCATAAATGGCTCTCTATGATCGTCTATTCCCTCACTTTACCACACTTCAGCATTTACACCACTGAAAGCCCCCCCACCCCCCGCTCATGGGACAGGTGTTTTAATAAGACAGCCAATTGATGTTCCCAGTGTACTCTGCTACTTGCTGCCGCTGTGTGAATTCACGGAGTAGTACAGAACTTATTGTGGCCGCGCGTTATCGCGAGACTTGTGCCATTATCAACCTGCTTGACACACAGCAGCGCTGAGTGCAGCCTGCCTTGCCAGGGTCGGACTGGAAGCTCAAGAAACGACAAGGAGAAGCGAACATCTGGCCGCACATCATGAAAGGACATCGGGGCTTCTAGGAGAGAACACGACGAGCTGGGCGGAAATAAATGTGAGTACGGTGTTTTTGTGCTTTGGAGCGAGAGGGGGGAAAGCGAAAGTTAAAAGAGTGTCCCCTCGCCGCTTCGTTCAGCGCAGTTGGCTTTGCTGCGAGTTCCTCTGCTGTTTAAAAGGCTCCCAGCAATGCGTTTCCCAACACGGACATGGAGCTCGGTTTACTGCGCCTCGGGCTCCCCTGTCTCCTACTTCCACTCTTCTTTAAAACAAAAATATCACCAATGCGCGCAAAATCATACTTATTGCACATCGTTCTCGGTGGCATCCAACTTTAATGTACACTTGAGTTTTTTTTTTTTTTTTTGGAACATCTGCCCTTTTTTCTATTTTGAATCAACCCCCTTAAACGCACATCTCCCCAGTTGTGCGTGTGCGCCTCACGCGTGCGTAAAAAAAAAAGAAACAAGGCGTTTTATTCTCATCCGCGGTTGTTGGCTGGAGTTTTTCTTTTTTTTCTTTTCTTTTTGCGATGATAAATTGGGCCAGATTAAAAGAGTTGGAAACGCCGTGTAATCTCGTGACACTTACACATCCACGCCGTCTCTTTCTCTTTTTAAACAAGTTGTGTGTGTGTGTGTGTCTTGTTTGGACTGCGTAGCCCAGAGTTAACATATGGCGTAAAGGGGAGCACAGCTGGAGGTAGCGTTTCCATTGCGGTGATGTCAGAGCAGCTGACTCCACAGCTTGCAGTGTAATTAGCAAACAGAGCACCAGTTTACTCACTCTGCACTGCTCTTATTTTTTCACGTTAGTCTCCTTCCCCCCCTCCGATGGACCAGCGGTTTCAGTCCCACTTGCGTGTCCCGTGAACGCCTCCGTTTTTCGCGTACGTTTGGTAACGAGCCGGTGTGTCACTTTTTTGTGTGTGTGTGTGTGCAAATTTTGGTAGCCCCCGAGAAGTGGAGTGACTACTACAAGCCGGACTACTTTTGTGGATAATTTGGAGAGTGGATCCGCTTACACCGGGATACATGGGTAGGGGAGCGCAGTGTAGCGTATCCTGCACCACTGGAAAGAATGTAGGATTTATGTTCTCAAGTTGGATAAAGTTATTGATGTAGAGCTTTGGGTCCTTTTAATAAAAAAAAAACTAAAAAAAAAAAAAATCTTTTTGAATCAAGTTTTGTAAAATTGGGAGTGATTTTCTAAAGTGTTTAAGATCTTTTGTGTTCGCTCATACTTTTTAAATCATCTGCATTACTTGGCTCAAGTTTTTCCTCACATTCTCTCCGCTTTTTGGTGACTTGGTGTTTGCCTCTGATACGTGACGGCGGCTCCGCTGTGCCCTCTTAAATGGCTTCATTTCGTTGATCCAGTATCCTGTTTTTCCTGTTTTTTCACCAGGTTATGAAGGAAGAATGGAGTTCCCGGACCATAGCCGCCAGTTGCTGCAGTGTCTGAGTCAGCAGCGTCACCAAGGTTTCCTCTGTGACTGCACTGTTCTTGTCGGGGAGGCTCGATTCAAAGCGCACAGAGCCGTGCTGGCCTCCTGCAGCATGTACTTCCATCTCTTCTACAGGGACCAGCTGGACAAAAGGGACGTTGTGCATCTCAACAGTGACATTGTGACAGCCCCGGCTTTCAGTCTGCTCCTTGAATTTATGTATGAGGGGAAGTTGGAATTCAGCACTCTCCCGGTGGAGGATGTCCTGGCAGCAGCCAGTTACCTCCACATGTATGATATAGTGAAAGTGTGTAAGGGCAAGCTTAAAGATAAGGAACTCTCCTCTCTGGATGAAAAGATGAGTGAGGGTTTGGGACTCAGCTGCCTGGACAGGGAAAATTCCTCGGACAGCGAGCTGCACAGTAAGCAGCTCATCCGGCGACAGCCCCAGACACAGTCTCAGGGGTTACACAGGGCCCCCCAGGCGGAAGAGTTTGACATGAACAACAGCGAAGTCAGGCTGGCTGTCACAGATTGTGATAGGTCTACACAGAGCAGGCAGAAGGCAAACGGTCACTCTGGCAGGTCCCCGGACCTTGTAGGTGTCAATTATGTGTCAGCAGAGGCCGAGCCCTGTGTCCAAACAGCTGGAAAAACAAAAGCTGATGTCAGTAGTTCCACCGTATCGCTGTCCCAGAGGTCCCGGGCTTCAGATGACATGGACTGTGCACTGGATTTGTCTTTCAAGCCTCTGTCTAGCAGAGATCCCTTACACCCCTCCTACGTCTCGGGACAGCTGGCCCTCGACAGCCAGCAGCAGGGCACTGAGCCACTTGTTAAAGACGAACACGACTTGCTGTCAGAGCAGGAGGACAGTGAGCCGATGAGCCCTGAGAGCCAGCGCTTTGGGAATAGTGCCAGGAGCTCAGTGGTGACAGGGTTCGCTGCCCTCTTCCCAGGCAACAACGGCTCCACAGCCGCCCTGCTCTCCCAGGAGGAGGACCTGATGGACGAGGAGGGGGAGGCCTGCAGAGGGAGGGAGGGCGCCCCAGGCAGGGAGGTAGAGGAGAGGAGGGGTAGGCTGCTCGGGGACAGCGAGGAGGAGGAGGAGGACGACTTGGCCTCTTCAGACATCTCCACCTCCAGCGGGGTGCTCCTGCCCCCGGGGCAACAGGTGTGCGTGTGCCCCCTCTGCAGTAAAGTCTTCCCCAGCCCGCATGTGCTGCAACTGCACCTCAGCTCCCACTTCCGGGAGAAGGACGGCGCCCGCTCCAAGTTGTCCCCCGACGGCTCGGTCCCCACCTGCATGCAGTGCAACAAGACCTTCTCCTGCATGTATACCCTTAAGCGCCACGAGCGCACACATTCGGGCGAGAAGCCATACACCTGTGGCCAGTGTGGCAAGAGCTTCCAGTACTCCCATAACTTGAGTCGGCACGCTGTAGTTCACACGCGTGAGAAGCCTCACGCTTGTAAGTGGTGTGAACGGCGCTTCACTCAGTCTGGGGACCTCTACCGCCACATCAGGAAGTTTCACTGTGGCCTTGTCAAGACTCTCGCCATTGGATAAAACCCCTCTCAGCAGTGCCATGACATGAGACAGAATGTCTTTTCATACACTGAATACTACTACTGAACAATTTTCCCATTAGTATACACATGTTGGCAGTTTGTTTGAGACATATCTTTTGGATTCTACCCCATGTGGCATTTCTCAAGTTAAAGATGTAGCAACTTTAAAAAAAAAAAAACTGGAGCTCTTTCCTGAGCAGGACTATGTCATAGGCTTACATGATGGTCAGAGGCAGGCAGTTGAAGGTGCACAGGCCGTTAGGATAAACATGGGTGCTGTGAAACTCGAGCTGGATCTGTGTCGACGAAGGTGAACAAATCAGATGATGCACTTGTTTTTTTCTGTCTTGTTCTCTGTCAATCTGTTGAGTTTATTCGAGGAGTATATTTGCTGAAAGCATCCTATGTTCATACCTTTTTGGGCAAATGGGTGATAGCTAATGCTAACACATGTTAATACAATCGTCAGAGTGAGTGAAACTTTATTTGTGCACATGGGAGATCAGAACCGTCCGTGAGTAGCAATATATGATTTTTTTTAACTCCTACATTATTATTATTATTATTATTATTATTATTACTATTATTATTATTATTTATTTTTGGAGATTTGTTAGTCTTTAACAATTAAACTATCATAAGGCAGCAAAACTAATGAAGTCTGACTACTGGAAGTGTAATTATTATTTTTTTTTTAATGGAAGTAGAATTTTTGTTTGGTTAAAATGAAGAGTTGGTTACAGTTTTATGTTGTTGATATCAAGAGGCCGGTAGACCATCATATCACCATATTTCCTTTTTTTTTTGCCTTGGGAAGAGCTCTTTAGTTGCTAACGTGAGTGAGCACATATTGATGGAATGGTCTTCTAACTGCTACTTAAAAATAAGTTGTATAATCAGAGGAGGTAGTTAAAGCTAATGCCTGTAACACTGGTGCCTACTGAAATTCTTAACACTTCACCTCGTGTACTTACTTAGACAAGAATGAGATCATATTGCCATGCCTTCTTGTCAAATTCAGTTTTCAGGCCTTTAAAAAAAAAAAATCTGGATTACACTCCACATACCAGGTGATAACAGAGGTAATGGTCTACTCTGGAATGCCAATTGATCCATGAGCGTCCTTAATTAAAACATTTACAAGAATGTAATAAAGTATGTAAATCAAGCTCTTGTCAATTAAATGTTTATTGACTCGTTTGGGTTAAAAGCAGATTGTAAATTACCTTGTTATTTCCTGGTATGGCGTAAAGGGTATACTGACACTGGTGTTTAGGGCAAACCCTCAGCAGGCAGGGAGGGGGACAGAGGGAGACAGGTGGATATTCATTACTTTGTCAGTGTCCGTTGTTAGCGTCGTTTGTTCATCCAAGCTCCACGTGCCATTCAGCCGAATCTACTGACTTTTCTTTCTTTGAATTAACCTTTTTTCACATTGTGTTTTTAAGTTACTACTGATGAAGTTGGAGCCTTTAGTGATGCTGTCCTTGAAAGAATCTTTGGGCAGGAAATGGACATCTACTGTCTGCTCGCATAGATGCTATATGGATTCTCAACAGGGGCGCTGGCACTAAACGTTTGTGATATTTGTCTAATCTGTCCTGAGAAGACTTGATCAGAATTTATTTATTAGTTTGACTTGGTTCAGGGTTTACTGTAGGTGTAGTCCTTATTTCTATAAGCTTGAGAGACATTGCGTCTTGCCTAGCGATCTTGGTACTCATTAACTGGTATTGGGGCTGTCTGTTCATTTTCTCTGTGCAAATCGAGTTACTGTAATTGTATTTTAATATACCGTGTAGAAATCTCTACGGAGTATTCAAGATTTGTCACATGGAACATAGAGAAGCACTTGTTTTAGCATGCATATAGTTTCAACACTATTGTCTAGGCTGCTATTTCTTACTATATGTATATTTAATGTAAATATATATTCTATTTATCAAACTGTTTGTTTTTCCGTGTTACAACCCATGTAAGGTGGAGAGAGAGTCAGGTGTCTTATTAAGGCTGCGGTCTCTTAAAGTGTCACGTCTTCCCAAGGGAGTTTGGTTCCTTTTCCATATTCAATTGGACTCACTACAAATCAGAACAGTTAATACCTCTCTGAGTGCTGTTCTGCCACAGGAGACAGTTGTTCACAAGCACAGCCACACTGATACGCCATTGGCTACCTATAGAAAATGAGACAATACATGCATTGTTCCCCCTCACACCAAATCCCAGGTAGTTCTCAAGGGATCATTGTGTATCTCCCTCCTAGCTGTGGGGAGGAAAGGCAGCGCAAGTCTCTCTTTGCACTTTTCTGTATTGAATGGAGCCACTGGAATGTGAGAAATGTATTTAGCAAAGGGAGACCAAGGACACTGTAAACAGGTGTATTGTTTGGAGGCATCAAAGAACAGCCCCCCAATCCCAGTATGCAGTAGATAAATGCTTCATTGTTCCTCTACGTGAAGGAGATACCATGGTGATTTGATTGCACATCTGTCAAGAGAATATCAGAATAATCCGAGTATTGTTTTCCAAGTGCTTGATTTAGAAAGATTGTCGAGATTGACAGTAATGTGTTTGGCAACTGTGACGATAGAGGTCAGATGTACGTGCTGACCACCTGTCCATTTCAACATAGACACCCTTTTAGGTGTTTTTATTTTTTATCTTCTATGTTTATCACCAAGACTTCTTTCAGGACACAGAAATGAATTCACATGTGATTTCTCGGCATTTGCAGTGGTTTTGTCACCATTTTGTAAACGTCGGAGCCTGAGTTGAGAAGGAATCAAACCATTTCTCCCAGAATTACTGCAATCTGTTCTCCTTCTCCTCCCTGTCCTGCAGTTAGCGACAGGGCTCGAGTGAACTGAAGGCTTGTGTGTAATTTTACAAGAAATGTGATTTGGCTCCCTGTTTACTTGCACAAACGCTCCTGTTGTTTGCATGCCTTGAGAGTTAATCACTTCGGTTAGTTGTCAGAACAATAGGTATATTTCAGATGTTGCGTAGTGTTAATAATGTATATTTCAATCAGAACACACAGGAATGTAGATTTGGTCACCGTTTCAGTTTTCTAAAGGAACATTTCTTATGTGGTGCAAATTGAATTGCTTGATTCTTTTATGTACATGTGTACAGAGGTAGAAAAACTAACAATATGTGAAGAATTGTTTCTTTTTATTGTTTGCAGTCTTTATTTATACCTCCAGGATGATCACCAAATGTGCCTTCTAGACACACGAATAGGTGTTGCATCTGGAGAAGCCCTTTTTCTATATTGTACATTTTGCCCTCGACTGCGGTGGTAAAGTTCACATCACAACAGTGGCCCGCTGAAGTCGCAACTGTTGTTCCTGTTTTTTTTTTTTAGTTTTTTTTTTTTTATCGAATCATGTTAAATCAGACAAACTAAAAGTTTAAAGTCCATTTATTTTTGCTGCTTTGCGAGAGATTACATTGACGTTTTTTGAGATTTCTTTGACCATTTTTGTTTTATGTGAATAAATCTGTTGTGGACGTGTTCAACTGAAGACAAGCATTTTTATGATTTGGCTTTTAGTAGCCAATACTACTGGGAACTAACAGTACAGTCCTTAGTTAATGTCACTGTTGAATGTGAAACACTGAGATGTTGATTGTTGACTTCTATGGAAACAGCGCTACTCTTGATCGAGGGCTATGTTTGCCTAACTCATGCTGTATGATCTTTCAAGTCTAAAATATGACTTTACTGATACTGGAATTTTGTCCTCTGCAGGTTACAACTGTGAAATTGTGTATAATCATGAGAAATATTTATTATTGCATTTTGCTTCTTGTGCAACATTTGACTGTCTCAGTTTTAATTTGGTAAAAAAAAAAGGAAAAAAAAAGCTTCTAAATGTTGACCGAAAAATCTTTTTAATAGAATTTGTAGAAGTGCCATTAGAATTTAATATAATTTTTTAATAAGAAAGGTATATTTTATAGTAATCAATTGCTTCAGTGTTAGTGTAGAGATTAGAGGACAATCTTTATGCAGAATTGACATTGCTTAGATATTGAGGCAATTTACTTTGATCTATAACTGTATGTGCATTTTCTCTGTTTGCGCTTTTGGAGTGTGCTGGTGTGTGTGTGCTGTGGAAATGTGACAATCTTGATTTAGGTCTTTCTTAAGATTATGCATAGAATTAAATGGAACAACTTTCTTTCTCTGTGTGGATTTTTATTCATTTGCACTGTCACACTAGTTTTCACACCAGTCGATACGTCAATTTCAGACAAAACACTTTTGGCTGGCAGGTTTGAATTTAATAAGAAAGGTAAAAGTAGACTCTGATGCACTAGAGCAACAAAAGAACATTATAGAAGTGTCCTCTTCTGACACACAGCAGTAACAATCAGCCAGCCGGTGTGTGTGGGAAGCACTGCAATGTGTACAGAGACAACAGAATGTGATAATACTGCTGGTCTTACAGGCCCGATCCCTCTGAAACCATAAACTGAGCTCAAGGACGGAGCAGTTTCAAGATGGGCTCCCATTGTTCCTGACCTGTTGCCAATACTCTCCAAAGGAAATAAACCTAGGATAACAAAGCTAGTTGACTAAGTTGTGTAATTATAACTAAAACATAACTTGATTATATCTGCTACAGCACACACACACACACACACACATCTATTTGTAAGTAAACAAACACATACCAGATATGTGCCTACTTGAGGAGCTTCATGCCAATTCACTGGACAATTTCAATGGCGAGAACTTTTAATTATTTCCCCCGCTGCACCATGAAAGAAATCCAGCTGCTCTGCTACGTGATCCCAATGGGGATGTGCTCGGGTTCCCACCACCCTCCCCCCAATCCCGGCTCACCCTTTCTGGGAACTCCATATAGACAAGGGCCGCATCCAACTAACCCTGCCCCCCATCTATCCTAACCTCCACTCCCATAGCCCCCAAAACCACGGCCCCAAACCTCGGCCTCATCCCACCACTCTATTGTGTGCGTGGGTAGTAGCTCAGCCAGGCTATTGTCTGGCCCGGCTCCCCAGCACGTACTTTATGCACAAACAGACGACACAGCGGCGCTAGCCAGGCAGCTCCGACATAAAGAAAACAATGTCCTCCCAAGATCATTCATAAACACCCTGAACAGCCACAGCCAGCTCACAGTAAATAAGGGCCCTCTGCAATGCTGCGGCCACCTCACACTGTAAACATCCACAGCAGCAGGCCTCAGAGCGCTCGCTGGCACCAACATCTCACATCTGCCTAACGGGATACAGGGCTTTAGACTGCCTGGTGTGTGTTTGTGTGTGTGTGCGATTCTTATGGACCAAAACCTTCACATGGAAAGTAAGGGCCATGTGATAGGGCTTAGCTGCAGGGTGACGAGCTGGGATATGTGCAGTGTAACTCGATGGTGTAATAAAACATTCCTCTCCGAGGCTCAAAGCCCGGCTCATTTGGCCGTGAGTGGTTTTGTGTGTGTGTGCGCGTGTGTTTAGAGGTACTTGAGAGAAGTTGAGAGGAAAGTTGTAAGTGTCCACCACCTCAACAAGGCCAGCGGTGGGAGCCCTTGACCTCTGAAGGGACGGACTGCCAGGGACAGCTGGTGTGGCCTGTGTTTATTTATTTATTTCTTTACAAAAGACAGGTGGTCACACTTGAAAAGGGCACACAAACACAGTCACACATGCGCTTGTGTACAGACAATGCTCTCACACACACACACGCGCACGCACGCACGGGTTGATTTCTTTTTCTCTCTCTCCACATGCATAAGGTTATCATCCACTTAATTTTGGAGGAGCCATTCTTTTGACTTTCAGAGAATCCAAATAACATTGCGCCCAAGAATGAAAAAAAAAAATCCCAATTATTAATAAAATAGTCTGGTGTAAATTATTATTGTCAATTTGTAAGGCTACATCCACATTTAAAGCAGTTCTTAATAGTGATCTAAAGCTTCAACCTGAACTGTATATACCACATATCAATTGCTACAAGTGAATAAATACATATCAACTAGTGCTCTCACACTGGGTTTGCCTTTTTTGGAGTGGCTCGCCCTGACAGTGCCAAGACAGTGTGTCCTTGGTCCACTGTACAGCTGTCACTTACTCACACTCGTTGACGCATATTTATAGCAGCAGCATCACTGGGCTCGACGCTCGCCACACTCAGACCACAGCTGGTCCCCGAAAGAATGGGTGAAAGACAAAGCCACGTGCTCCCGCTGGCCGACTGCAGTTGGTCCTGTCTGGAGCGCTGTGGGTGATTATGTGGCCCCCTTCTCCTTTGCAGACACCCAGCCATACATGTACCAAGGAGGAGACGAGGACCTTTTTTTTCTTTCTCCTTTGGTTGTCACGGATAGGGATGTGCTGAAAACCTTGACAGCTGCACTCCATTCTTTTGAAGGTACATAAACACACATCACATCATTATAGGGTTAAGGGAGGAGGAGGGGAGTCAACAATGAATATGGTAAATGTTTTGGATGAGAGACTTCTGTAGTGGTTTTCTTTACACAGATGTAGGAGACAGACACAACAGGGGGCATCTATAGATCAGTAATACTATTTGCTTTAAGTATTGAGGTTATAGCTGATGTTAAGTTGAAGGAATTGTGGGTGATTCCTGAGATTGTGCTCTTTGTGAACAACACTATATTCTCTACTGTCTACTCCCTTTCTTCTAGATACAAGGGTACTGATGCAATGATGCTGAAACTGGACAATGGAAGACCTTTTGATGGTCGAAACAGGGCTTCAGGTAGTAGTAGGTCACTGTGACTCATTATTCTTAACAGTGTTTCTGTTGCTGATCAAGAAAAACTCATCTCCCAGGTCATAAAGGGACAGGGGGGGAGAGATGCTCCCTCTGACATTGGTGTCAGACTCAAGTCCAAACTCAAGATATTCAGATTACATGAATGTCAAAGAAAGATCAGTGAATTATTCCACTTGAGAAGCAGGAAATGGTGAATATTTATCATTTTAATAAATCTATCAATTAATCTATTACCAAAATAGTTGCACATTTTCTATCAACTGACACATCCGCCCGCTTCAGAATTCAAGAGAGGGACAGCTCTCTTGAATTTCATGAGTCAGTGACTTTGTCTTCAATAAAAAGCAAAAAAAGAAAAAGACTTGCAACTCAAAAAGTGAATGTCTTCCTGTCAAGTGTTTTATGTCCACCTCTGAGTTCCTTAAAGCCTTATCAAGAAATGTGCAGACAACTTGACGCCTTGCTTGCCAGCAGCTGTCTGCTCACTCAGCCAGAAATCAAGCGGTGCTCTCGGACACCAACTGCAGAGCTCCCCAAAGACCGGAGTCACAACTGGCCCGCTGAGCAGGGGATGTGACTCAACAAGCTCACAGGCACATTCGCAATAAGCTCCAGGAAGTGCACTCATCCAAGCTAATATCTACAAGACCATGTCATGTGATTGATTTCTATAAAGCAGCTCTGAGGACTTCTGCCACCAAGAACAATTACTCACAGCGTACAATACCTGACCCTGAAACCAGTCATCATCAGTGACCAGCCGCAGCCAAGAGAAAGTGATGACTGCACCTCAAGGTCATGTCCAGCAGGGATAATTGTAGCCAAATTGTCTGCTGCAAAGCTCTGGCTCTTCTTGCTTTAATAAATACATTTGATAGCAGATTCTCAAGGTCAGTCCAGACAGACTGGATTGGAATTTCATCGTCATTGCCAAGCCAGAAACTTCAGCTAAAAGGTTAAAAATGTGCTTCTTAAGCACAGTGAGATAAATGTGTTCATCCAGTGTGGAAGCAGGGCTTTTTGTCTTACCCTTAATATGGCCCAGTCTGAAAAGAACTCATCCCTCAACTGAGACCTTGAAGTGTGCTGCCATCTGCTGATGTATCTACAACACATGATGAAAGCTGGGTCACCTTTTAGCTAATTGGCAGATTTGTGTTCAGACATCTTATTTTCATTCCTGTATTATTTGATAGCTATCTTACTGTGCCCCTTTATTAACCAATAAACACTGGTTGTATTAATGACAGGTGCACCAAAGAGACCACAACATTAAACTGTATACAAAATTGTTCAAGTTTATTTCAGTTATGTCTGGAATTCAATATATACACACAAGAAAACATTCAAATCACATTAAAAAAGCCACAGGTGTAAAATTCAGTCTCAGTAATATCTCATGTGAAGCAACCACATATAGTTCCTGATCCCGTCTTCGGTCTTCCTTTACGTCGAGCAACTGCAGCACAGTACTTCATCGTATCGCCCGCTGTAACTGGGGAACAAAAATATTACATTATAAATATTACATTATAATACACAAACATAATTCCACACTCATTGTGAGCAGTTTTAGTTTCAAGGCATGACATGGGATTTTTGGACATTGAACCACAAACCCAATGAGCAATGGCAGCCCTGCTCTTCCACCCAAGCTACAACTGCATAATATGATGTGCAAAGCGAGCCAAGTATTCTGAACACAAACATGTTGCATCAATGCAAAACTGCATTCAGTGAAATGTAAACAAGGCTGAAAAACACCTTTATATTTACATTTGAAGTCATGATAATGGGAAAATATCCTGTGCCGTCTGAAATGAGCTACTGTATAGAAACTATTCTTTAACAAACTGCATGTTTGTCTACCAGAAGTTCTGAGTTCTATTAAGCATCAAGTACTAACCCCGTTGGCTTCAGAGGTGGCTGTAGAACCTGATTTGAATAAGCAGCTATTTTGGTTCTGCTTCCATTGCTTTTTGAGGCCCATCCAGCAAATTCACTTTTAGAGCCATTCTCAACTTACTGGCACTGCAGCTAAAACTAATTAGAACCAAACAAGATTCAGACATGGGTCATGGTTTTGGCCTGCCTGTGAGTTCCTTAAGTATCTAATTTTCTTGATGTAAAATACAATAAATCTACTGGACTTTTTTGGTCCAGTGACATTGATGTGGACAGGCCTACAATACTGCAGTGTGCAGTTCAGACTGTACCAATAGAACAAGCAGAAGCGCACTGCCTTTCAGAGAACAGATGAGAAACAGCTTGCACCCCATATCTCATATAAACATGTCTTTAATACCACAGCAAGTGATTTTCCATGTGACACCTAATTAACCTTAGCATGCACGGCCTCTCAGTTTAAAGGGGATCTAATGATACTTTGAAGCTAGGACGACTACAAAAAACCCCCACTGCAGCTGGATTCCAACTAGGGATACACCAAAATGTATATTATACACATAAATATTATAAAAAAAAGATATAATATGTAACACTTCTGCATGTAAAGGTCTATAAATACTAGACCTATGTTATATATTTTTTGCGTTGTGTACTTACATTATTCCAAATGTTTCCAATAATGCAGAGAAATCAAATCTCATTCAAGTAAATGTGCGTTTCACTGGTTGCCTGTCAATGCTGTCATATCCCTGTTGCACATGCAGTGTTCTCGTTGTTGTAGAAACGGTCAGAAATCGTCTATTTAACCAGTTTTAAGCCACATTTTTTCTGATACACTTTTTAACTATACATTTTAACCCGATGAAGGATTTTAATCATTGGATGTCTGGATCTGAAGTTAACAGAGAAACAAGCTGAGCTAATGTTAGCAGGAGCTTGGCCTGCAGCCCTTCCAGGACGACCTTAGTCAGCTGAAAGGCGTCGGAGAAACACTGCTCTTTTAAAAAAGGTGAAACGGCCTTATGCTGCGTTTTAAATTACCGGGTCCGTTTGATTTGGAGAGGAGGATACCTCTGCAGAAGTGTGGATTACAATACGTACGTTTAATGTTAATGTTCAGGCCAATGTTTATCATACCTGGCGATGTACTTTAATGAGTAAGAATGAGAGAACAAAAGCAACATAAGCCATACATAAGGAGTACAAATAATACTCCAAACAATGACAGATATTTATAGCTTGCAAATACATGTGTGCATTAGTACGTTGAAGCTGTTTGGGGAAACATTTTTAATTCTGACTTACTCTATGATGGTGCAGACAGAGCAGCAGAGACTGGAGCAGCTGGAGCACTGTCGGGTACAGGAGGAACAGGCTAGACGCTCACATTGGGAGCATGGTGTCCTGGACCCCTGGCTCTTCTGACACACGCAGCAGCCTGTAGGAGCCACTGCCTCACCTACACAGAGTGCACACCCACACAGCACACTGGATGAGCACTTGAGTTAACAAGCAATCAAAAGCTGACATCTGCTGGTGAAAAGCATGAACTGAACCATTTACCATACATCTATTTTGTTCTATTGCTTTTACTCTAACTGCAGCCAAGAAGTAATTTTGAAATAATATAATAATAAAAATAATAATAATAAATATGTGCTTTGCAGCCCTCAGTATCTATGTTTGCCAGATCTTTGTTTCTGAGTATAAATCAGTTAATGCCATGTGACATATATATATATATATATAATACAGCATACATTGTGTTTGGGTGGTCATCAAAGGACAAGTTAATATTATTGTATCTGTCTTAAAGCAGTCCTCACATGCCCCTATGTACATTAAAACTGTTTTGACTATTTTCCCAAGGTTCTAACTTATAAATTATTTTAATCCACCCTTGGTTTTGGACTTTGTGAAGGCTTATTAGGGGAAAAACTGATTTAGCGAGTGCTTCAGGTACTCCAAAGGATCCACTTGGTTGGGTCAGCGTGCTTAAAAAATAAAAAAAAACAAAGAAAAAAAAAGGACCCAGCTCATATGACCTGGATCAGCTACTTCACTACTCTGCTTTCATCAGTAGATGTCACTGTTCTCACATATTTGGACTGTTCACTCTGTTGGTGTCTGTTGTTGTTGTTGTTGTTGTAGTTTCTGTCTGTGGATCTCGCCTAAATGTGTTCTGGGGTTAGGGTAAGCCTCCACACTCGTAGGGGAGGGGATGGTGGGCTGGCTGCAGTCTCTGGTTGTTGGTTGAAGAGGTCACTCGCATGTTAACTGGTATTTTAGATGTACGACAAAGTTTGTCTTGTTTGACGCTTCAGAATTTAGTTTTCATGCTGTGTCTTTCAGTTCCGGAGTGTGTCAACATCATTTTACTGAAGATATATCCGGACTGCAGCCATCAGATCAGGCTCACCTTGTGCACCATTTGCTCTCGTCAGTCTCCCATCATGTCCAATTAGTGTCTGTCCTCTCAGTAGTGCCTGGCTGCATGTGGGGGTCTCAGCTGGTCCAGCGGGCTGTGGCTCGGTGCTCATCTCCTCTCCAGTCCATATTTTACCCATCACTGCCTTGGCGCCGTTAAAGAGCAAATTCTTTGTCTTTGCTGTGGAAAGTAAAAAACAAACCCCACTCCTAGATGAAAGTGCATGTGACAAACTCAGCTGAGCGTCCCAGAGTGAACAGCAGGCTCATTACTGTCAGCCTGCTCACACTGGGCACTGCAGTAGTTCAGAAGCCGGTTGGTAGGAATGGTACGGTCCATTACATTAACAGCTACAACACATACCATTTAGACAAGTACGTGTCTTTTTCAGGAGTAATAGCAAACGGACCATATCTTGCTCAACAGTAGCTACTCTTCATATTTTAATGTCGAGGCCCAACTAATGAGACAACATGGGGTTCACACGACATGTCGCTTTAGCAACATTAACAGAAGTAACCAATTAGCCTGTTTCGTGGACGTTTAATGGAGACTTGGTTGTATCCAACAACTGCTACGCAAGAAAAGACAACTAGCAAATGTGCGCAACGACGAAGCTAACATTAACATTAGCAGCTATATGTCCGCTAACATGTGCTTACCATAGATTTCTTGCCTGTATTTGTTCCCAAACACGCCGTAATTGTTCAGCTCCTGTTGTCCGATGTGTATTTTGTATTGGGAGGAGAAGGTTTCAGGGAAAGGACAAGCTCGTTTCGGCATTTTGGCTGTAAAAAAAAAAAAACAAAGTCCCGCTGTGCTCCTGCGGACTTCAACACTTGTTTGTTGCGGGAAAAATGTAAGGAGGCAGCAGGGAGCCAATCACACACCTCCTTTATTATCACGTGAAAGCTAACAGCCAATCCGACAGCTGCTCTGCTGTCAAGTGAATTTTATAAAGCTCGTCCACCGCCATCAACACAGTGGTGCATTCAGGAACTGTCGGGAATTTTGTATTTTTTTTATTTCAACAGTCGCAGATTGGTGGGAGACTTGAGTAAATGTGCACACAGCATCATTACAACCAAGGGACAAGAAGAAGAACATTTTCACATTTAAAAAGTGTGAAATAATATTTACCTTAAGTCAAATGACTTAAAGTAACGATACACACAGTCCCTAAGCACAGGACTCATCAGCTGATCATGATTACTTTTCAGACAGTAAAGCTGGTCTCCAGAAATGATCCACCGTGGATCTGTTAGCTTTTATTTGAAAGCATTTGTTCTGGTTTAATTGGTGATACAGCCATACTATGACACATATCTTATAATTAAATCTAACAATTGTAATAATGAAAGACAATTTAACTGAAAATTAAAAGAGCCAACACTGCTCAAACGTTACATGGATGTTTTGTTTATTAGCTAATGAGGAGAAGATCATTTTAGGTGATGAAAAGATGCCACTCTTGTGCTTCCCTCAAGGGAGTTTCCCTTTAGAACATCTGGATCATGCACTCTCTGGACTTTCCAACACCAACCCACTTGACTAAATAGGAAAACAGAAATAGAGAGAAAGATTAGAAAAGTCAGAACTGTCCACACAAGAAAAAGCTATTTCTGATAAGATAACAATGCCACCCAATGGATATCATGCATTACTATAATTTAATTTGGAGGCCTTCAGGGTAAATAGTGTTGACAAGAGCTGTCTGCATTATTGTATATTCAGTGGGCCCTGCAAAGTAAAATTAAGATATTTTGTGTCAAACATACTGGGAACGCCGATGTGGTTCTCAATGAAGCGGATGTAGTTTTGTGCCTTGGCTGGGAGGTCATTCCACTTCCTGGCTGCAGACGTGTCCGTCTTCCAACCAGGGAAGGTCTCATACTCAACCTCCACTTTCTGCAAAACGTCCATGTTGGCTATGATTGAAAGAAATTACAATTACTACCAAACTTTAAATCAATGTCATCAAACAAAGCAGATGGGTTTGTGAGTCTTATTCCACATAGCCTATGGTTTCTTCTGTTAAATCACCTGGGAAATGGGGAATTCTCTTTCCATTGAGTTTGTAGGCAATTCCAACTTTAATTTCATCCAGCACATCCAGAATGTCAAGTTTTGTCAAAGCAATGCTGTTGGAAAGGGAGCGCAACATCGGTTTATCATTATGTCATTTATGATGGTGAAGGAAAAAATGTATGCTCGTGGGGTAAATGTGCTTCAATATTTAAACACATCAACCACAAAACACCTGATGATTTGTTTAAACTGCTCTAGGCACTCACGCAGTAAATCCATTAATCATATGAGCGTATCTGACAATGACAAGATCCAACCAGCCGCAACGTCGCTTCCTTCCTGTGGTTACACCCACCTCATGACCCCTCGTCTGCAGCAGCTCTCCTACTGCCTGCAGTAAACAGGAAAAAAGCCTGTTACTTCATTATTCATGAACTTAAATGATGTTAGGGTTTTAATAATCCCACAAAATCCTAAAAATATGCAATCAGTACACAAGTTATATAAGTTATATATGCATCTGAGCACAATAAAATATCACATGGGCCTGGGGATACGGTTTTAACATCTTGACCTATATCTCTGCGGTCAGTTCCCGTGACAAGTAACATAACCCCAGCACACACAGTAAATATATATCCCGAACCCAGACTCTGGCCCTAAATTTATCCCTGTGAACATGTGATCTGCATAAGAGGTAAAGAGTGAGCCCGTCTCTCACAAAATTTGACAGCTGCACTGAGCCAGAGGGCAACCCCACCTCTCCCCTCCGCCCCACCGGCCCCCGCTGCCAGTGTGTCAGCCACATGATCACATACAAACTGTACAAGTCGAGCTCAATATCAATGAGTTACATAATATATCGTGCGTCTTCACATACAGTGTGAAGGCAGGGAAAGCAAAGAAGACATGTGACAACAACTGATATGTCCCCACTAAGGTAATTCCCTTAAGTAATACCAAGCTCTTACATTGAGTTGCTCTGTGGGGAAAGCTCCAATTCCCACTCTGGTGGTGTAGGCCTTTGATACCCCAAACACATCACCAATATTCAGAGGCGGGATCCCGAGACCAGTGCATGCCCCGCCCACAGTGCAGTTTGATGATGTCACAAAAGGATATGTACCTGAAGAGAATAATTTTGTGTTAGTACAGCACAGACTGCTCCCCAGATCAACAAAAATCACATAAGCATTTTGTATGATGCTACCAAAGTCAATGTCAAGGAGAGCAGCATTGGCCCCTTCAACCAGAATTTTCTTTGGAGGTCCATGAAGAGCTTCATACATGTAATAGACCCCATCTCTGACCATCGGCCGCAATCTCTCAGCGTATTCCTGCACAAAGGACATACAAAAAAGTTTTTTTTTTGTTGGATTCAATGACAATCACTTGTCCCTTACTAGTCATCGGTGTCTACCTTGAGTTTTTTCAGTTGGTCCTCAACGTCAACTGTCAAGGATGGATACATGGATTGATACTGGTGGACGAGGTTCTTGAATCTGAAAGGAAAGGAAATCGAGACTCATGTAACATTATAGTGTTGATCTTGGAAAATAACCGTACGTCCCATATTCCCGTGCTCCCTACCTTGTGGAGAAGTCCTTAAAGTCCCCCAGAAGGTCACACACACGTAGGCCAGTGCGAGACGCTTTGCTGGAGTATGCAGGTCCGATGCCCTTCTTGGTTGTTCCAATGCTGTTATTATGGAACAAATGAAGGGATGTAAAATGCTGCGTGGAATGAGTGTAGATTTGTGTGTACTGCAATGTACTGTGGCGTTTTAATCTTTGGCAAACTGTTCACACTGAACTTTCTGCTGCCCTCCCAACCCTTACTTCTTTCCTTCTTGTGCTTGTCTTTCAGTTTCCTGTAAGCCATCGACAACCTGGTGGAAATCAAACACTGCAGAGAGACAGCAAACAGATCAATGAATAGCAGCCCGCACAAACTTAAAACCGTAATGATTGATGCAGGCAGCACTTCTATAAGTAAACATGTATGTATGTTTACAAGTACATAAACTGTACATACCCAGGTGAGCCCTGTCTGACACAATTAGTCTCTTCTCCCAGCCTTTCAGACCTGGTCAGAGAAAAGTAATCACACCTATGTGAGTATATCTGAATTTACACTTGTGCTTTATAAGTCAAGAGTATTTATTTCTTCAAATACCTTTCTTGTCATTTTTATCGCCTTCCTCAAACAAGCCAGGTAGATGTATGACCACTCCATTGCCTGCAAGAGCAGAGGAAGAGGAATATGTAGACTCTACTGCTCTAATATTCTCAATGATGCTGATGTTTTTGTATGACGGGAATTAAAGACATTACCAATGAGTGATGTGCTTTTTGGGTTGATGATTCCACTGGGGAGAAGGTGGAAGTCATACTCCTTACCATCCACTACCACTGTGTGTCCTGCATTGTTGCCCCCCTATAAATCAAACCAGAGTACATATTATAACCATAGTTTATACTGTTATATTGTTTTGATGATATTTAATCAAATACAGCGTCATGTTAACACCCAAGACCACCACAGAAGAATCAACCACACACACACACACACGTCTCGTCTTATTTTCATGAGACAGCGATAAGCCAACCTCTTCCCAATTCACCACGCTTTTCCAGCACCTATTTTAACAGACTTGGCCGGTGCTGGTGGATACACCACTCCATGTTCCCCCTGGCTAAGATCTGGCCTTCTCACATATCAAGCCACCCTGAGAATGTGACCTCGCTTCAGCTCCGTGGGTGGGGCTCTTAAGCCTCCAGGACACAGGGTGCTAGTCGTGTCAGTGGAGAAAGTCCAACAAGTACAACACAGCAACTGTTGGTGGGTTTCACCGTGCTGGAGTGACCTCTGATTTCTGACCGGAGGGTTATGTGTCTTATGTAAGCAGACAGAATCTGACCTGTCTGGAGTTGTTGTTTTTTTTTTTTTAAATTATGAATGTTAGGTATCTCAAATCCAATCTACCTTCTATATGAACCAGCTGAATGAGTCAGTAACTGTGCTGTGTGCTTGCTGTGTTACTAAGTCAATACTGAGTCAATAACACAGCAACTTGACACTAGGTTTAGAGGAGATCGCAAGAAATGAACAGAGACAGTAGGTTCTTAAGTTGTACTTGCTAAGGCTCAATTAATTAATAATGACATTTGGCATTCTAGATCTGTTTAGTTTAGGTTAATGGCCACTATTCATCTTATACATCATTAATCGACTACAGGAAACTACAGCACATACTTAATATGGTTTATTGTGATACTCAAAAACGCCTCTCAAGCAAGAAATACTATATCCTGTTAGGTATTCCCCAAATCACAGAGGTACAAGTGTTTCCACCCTGAGCACCTGTTGCGCTCTACCAGGCCACAAGTGACAGATTCCGTTGTTTTGAATTCAGTAAGAAACGGCATTGGGCTATAACACAAGGACACGCCCCTGTGAATGCTCATCTGAAATCACGAATGCAAACATTTACCTGACATCTGCACACAACATCAGCTTCAGTCGCCAGCAAATCGACGACTTTCCCTTTGCCCTCGTCTCCCCACTGCGCACCGAGCACCACCGTCACTTTGTTCCCCGCGTCGTTGCGCGACCGCTTCTGTCCGGCCGCGGCGGGTTGATTCAGGTTTTTGTGGTCTTTCGCCGACCAGCTGAGCGACATGATGGCGGTGGCTGTAGTCTGTCCGTCTCAAGGAGACTAAACTGTCTGCAAGAGTGGCATTGCCATATCTGTAACTTCATAGCCGATGATGTCAGAGCCAGACGCGCGCACAAGTGCGTGGCTGCGCTCAGGCGAGTTGTCTCCAAGGCTGTTAAAGCAACGAGAGGAATAACCTTTCCACAAGAGCCGCAGAGATGTGTGAAGGTAGATTCATCCGGTAAAAGCCTGTTGGAACATTTGTGTGCTAAAGTTTTTTTTTTTTAATTCATTCCGTTTGCCATCATTATCGCCAGCTGTGAGAGGGGAAGGAGTACAAACAGCTGAACAGTAAATTCACTTTTATTAAAATATATTTAACATTAAAAGTTACAATCCATTAAATGCCGTCCTTATATTTCCTGTTAGAGATAATCTGGATAATATAAAGTAATTAAGACACGGGTTTCCAAGCTGTTTTGATGATGAATAACATTAGATCTTGCACCAACACTGCATCTTTCTTTCTATAGGTGCTAAACAGTAAATAAAGCTCATAGCAAGTCACATTCACTGCATATTACAAGTTATACAAAACATATAAAGCATATTTAAACTTTTTTTAAATAGACAGTTCTGATTGAAAACCACTAATGTACACAAAAGCTACAACTCATTTACATAAAGTGACAGTTAACATCCATGCTGTGAAGATCCCAGCCTGAGATGCTTTACTCTTCTTGGTCTTGAAAATCAAATCATTGCAAAAGGAAGACCTCTGCATCCTCACAGGAGTCAATATTCAGCTCTCTCACAAAATAAAATGTACGTCAGTCCTTCCAGTTCACAACTCTTGTGTGAAATTAACATTTTCTTTTTCCTCTGGTTTTCCTTTTTCTGGAGTCACCTACGGAAACAAAGACTAAAATGAATAGACAGAATAAAATACATACATACATACACTTTCATTTAATACATTTCAGAGTTATATCTATGGCTTGTAAACATGACTACATTTTCTTTTAGTGGTAAAAAACAAACAAAAAAAAAAACATTTTTTGCATTTTTAATGCATTTACATTACAGACAGTATCTTTCAGTCAGATTAACAAAGCACATTTTACAAAAAGCACACGAGACTGTGTTAGTAGATTTTAAACAGTCTCAGTTGCAGATTTGGGGAATGGACAAGAAAATATGGAAGGAGAGACAAAAAAAAGTGACAGCTTTCATGAAAGAAAGTCCACAATGACTTCACAATGACTTCACAAACGGCAAAGCTGTTTTAGATCAGCAAATTGAGATTTTTGATTAGAACCATTGATTAAAAGGAGCACTGTTAGGATTAGTTTCCCCTGGTCTGATGGACATTAGAAACACTTCAGGACATGTTTGGTCAAATGCTGTTGGGGTTTTTGTGCCTGATCACGACTGAATTGGCAAAGTGTTAAAGACGGAGCAAGTGTTAAAAAGCTGGACAACAGAGACAAATGGAATCCAGATTCCAGTTAGACCAACAAATGACGTGTTACTTGGGACAAAGCTTCGACGGTGATTGAATTCATTAGGATGATGTTCCTGCTTACAGTTTGCCATCCCATCGATTTGACCTACCTCACTGCAACACACAGCCTGTTTTATGTTTAGTGTGTCCTTTTCCACTGTTACCTTGTGTTTCAGAACGGAAAACAGAGCATTCAAACAAAACGTCCATATTTATATCCATTCAGTATTAAATCTGCAAATCAAGTGCTGCACACTGCATCCATACTCTTTAATAAAACGCACGTTATCATGCACCATACTTATGAATATACACTGAAATATCCCATACATACAATATATAATATTAAATGTAGCAAAAACAAAAAAAATAAGGACTTCCCTTTAAGAGACATCGAGAGACTAGCATTCCAAACGTGATCTTTATTGAAGTGAATGGAGAGATTACCTTGATGACTCTTCTTTTTGTTACGTTTAAAGAGGCTCTGCTGTCTCTTTGGTTCAGGCTTAAGGGATGGAGGTACTGCCTCAGACACTGTTGGTGGATCTTCTGATTGAAGTCCATCTGGGACGTCCCACCCCTGGATGCCCTCGCTGAGTGTGGTCACATTGCTTTTAGGGTCCGAATGTTTGTAATTCGTGACCTCATCTTGGCTGGGTATCTTTACAACACTGCGGTCCCGCTCTTCCGGAGCCTTCTCTTGTCCTACAGTCTCTGTTAAATGGCTAATTTTATTACTAGTTTCACCTTTCCCACCTCCCATTATATTGCTTTCACTACGTTGTGTCACATTATCTGTATTAGGTGAAGGGCTTTCCTTGATTTGAACATTCACACTAATGTCCACCGGCTCTGCACGCATCAGCTCCTCAGGTACGGGGCTGGAGTTGCTGTCTAGCACAGCCTCTAGCAGGTCGGAATCCGAGAGGGAAGATGGGCTGAGGACGCTGGTCTCAGTTGAATCCAATGAAAAGCCATTTGTGGGGAGAGATGGTGGGTGTTCTGCTTCAACCTGAGGATGAGGTTGTATTGTAACTAGCGAAGATACCGAAGGTTTCTGTGGGTGTTGCCGGTCCTGCAGCGACGCAGGTCTTTCCAGGGGTGCCTGCATTGTTATGGTTGCGTCTCCTGGGAGTGTGTTGGGAGGAACAGCTGGCCCGCCTTGCACTGCACTCTGCGGTGCTGGGGGAGTCTCTTCTGATGGGCTGATGAAGCCGTTCACTTCGCCTGTGTCGGCCTGGTGATCCTCGGTCTGAGGTTTGGTGGGAGCGGTAATGGTGGCCATTTCTCCGGCTTCTTCGTCTACAGGCTTCACACTTGAGCCTGGGGGGGGATAAATAGGTAGAATTGACGGTGAGGGTATATACATTAGGACCATTATTATCTTTGAAATGGGATGATATTTCACAGCAAGCGAAGATTAAAATAAAATGTAGCTCAGCAAAGCAACTAAGCGATGGAGCTGGCATAACAAGGTGGCAAGTGGTGTTAAAGCAAAACTTAAAAAACAAAGAGGCTAGATAAAGCAGCAAGGCTGTGTTGTGCTGTGGCTCGCAGTTAAGTGGCTCAGGGGCGGAGCTAGGCACTGCGGATGGGGGCCACAGTCTCTTGTCCTTACCAGATGGGCAGGTATCCCTACGCATTTCACTAGAAGGGAGGCTTTCCGAATCGCACCTTGGCCTGGTCTTTCTTAGGCTGAAACCTTTCCTGATATCCGCCAGAAGGTGATCGATGATGCAGCCGTCGTTCTGTGGCACGGTGCCTTTCTTTACTGGTAAAAGAGGGGTTTGAACACTATTCAGTGCCATTCAAATTACATCTAGGTTAGGAATTGCTAGTATTCTGACAGAAAAAAAAGGAAGCCTTTTCACAACTTACTTATTTTTCCATTCTCTCCCTTCTGTCTCTTGGACTCTTCCTCTGCCAGCTGCTTCTTTCTCTTCTCGGCCTTGGCTGCCTGCTCTCTTCTGGTTTTGTTTTCCTGTTATCATGAAAGTCAGGATGTCACTCATACAATGCACATAGCAATTTGTCTTTGTATCATTTAGGCAGAGACATATTAACATCCTCCAGTTTTCCCACCACATAATACCCATGTTCCAAAGAAAACTCTACCGCCACACCCAAGAAGAACCAGGCCCTGTGTGTATGTGTGTGTGTGTGTATATATATATAACTAACTATATAACGAAAGTATCGTCCTGACCTTCAGTGCTTTGATGAAAAATCCTCTAAAAGTCTTGATGGTTCCGAAGAGTTCCTCGAGCGACAGCTGATTGGCATCTTCACACAAGTAGCCAGCCAGAGCGGTCTTCTTCTCTTCGATTGCAGTGAACCTTTCATTTAAAGCTTGACAGGCCTCCAGACTTTCCTGCAGCAGCAAAAAAGAAAAGGGAAAAAAAGAAAAGAAAATAATTGGAGGAATTTGGATCCAGCTTCCAGAAACAGCACTGAGTTATCAAATTTGTAGGCAGAGACTATAATCTTACCTGAAGAACTTTTGCATATTGCTCCTTCACCTCTTCGACAGAGTTGGCCACCTTCTTGGCCGTCTCAGTCAGTCGTTTTAATAAGGCACTGGCTTCTGACTGAACAGAGTCCAGGTTAACTCTGAGGACAAAGTGTAAAACCTTTGGTTAAATGTCTGTTACAGATCCACTGAGGACCGTGAGCTAAGGTAAATGTGAAAAGGTTTTTATACCCTGCTGCTTTTTCACAGATCTCTATATCATCTGGCAGCGCCAGCAGTTCCGGGTGGTTCGCTTCTGCTTCCTTTGCAAAACAAGTCACACAGAGTGTAATTAAACAGGTTCAAAACTGAGAAGAAAAAAAGTTACGGCAGCCGCAAGCCAGTTTGCGTACCTCTAGGATGTGATGAAGCAGCGTAATGCGGCTCTTGTTGGCCTTGGTCTCTGTAAGTTTGAGCAGGGAGCTGATCTTGAACCCCTCTGCATTCCCTGTGTGACTTCCCTGGAAGAAGACCAATGATTAAAAATGCAAACTCTATCTAAATGTCAGCTTAAGTATAATATACACGAGACGGAGGTTCTTACGTAGTTGAGAAAATTTCCAACGTCAAGGATGAGCCTGCAGAAACTAGGCATGAGCGTGCTCATTCTCAGCGCTAAGAAACGTGTTACATTGCGTTAGTTTGATGATATATAATACATATTTTGAGCTGGATAGTACAATGACAACTTCATGCATGTGGGTAAAGTGGGTTTACTTACACTGGCAGGCCTCATCCACCAGCTTGACTTTAGGTTTGAGCATATCCAACACTGATGAAGTCTCCTCACACAACAACATGCACTCAATCCTCAACTGATAGCTGGGGAGACGAGCCAGGAAGCAAAAATAAATAAAGAGCCAAGTATGACAGTATTCATGCAAGCACGATCACGATTAACAGTTCAACCAGAACAAAAATTACCATGGCACGTTGAGGAGGGAGGTGTAGAAGCGGTCAACATTTGCCAGCTTGTCTTTTTCTCCTTGGAAGGACTTCAAATTTTCAATCTACATAAAAATAAAAAAAAAAACGAGACAGTGACTCAGACATTTACCATTTTAAAATGTTCCCTTAATAGGAGATACATGTGCAAGAAACGTCTCTAGGTAAGGATGGCGAATAGTACAAACCTCATGCTTCTCTGGTAGGAGCTTCAGAAGCTGTTTAAGCACCTCTACATCAAACCTAGTACGGTCTCCATTCTGAATCATGGCTACAAAGTCCTCATTTTTGCTGGACAGAGAAAATAAAAAAATATTGAGCAGGGAAATGAAAATATATATGTATATAAAAACATTAAAATAATGTCCATTATCTTACCATTTGAACTGCTTTAGGAATATGTTCAAATTCAAGTTTTTCTTTGGATCAATGAATGTAATCTATATTTACAAAACAGAGAAGTTGAAGAGGCATATTGATTATTCAGCTTTGATAATCAGGTGTGTTTGTTTAGAGTGCTACAGCTCAGAGGAGCCGTGTCGAGTGTCGACCAACCTCTTTAGGCTCCTTCTTGACAGGAGCAGCTGCCCCCTTGTCTTTGTGCTCGGTCACTGGGAGACAGAACAGCTGCTCGATACTGCTGTAGTCCGGCTCCCGAGGAGGAGGCTCTTTCTGAACCGAGGCCCACATGGAGTGACCATCTGTGTGTGTGTGCAGGAAGAGAGGAACCTGTCACGAGCTCATGTGGCACCATTTTGTATCAACATCACACCACGGCTGAAACTCATTTGAAAGTGATGTTCCCTCCCACAAAACTCAGGGGAATCCTCCGCAACACCCACATTAAATAACACCCAAATCTGGAATAATGGTCTGTTCAGTTCATGTCAAATGTTCCATCCCCATCAACTATTCTCTACACATGCTGGAACACACATGTCCCATAATACTGTTCTATTTACACGTGGCCTGAAGTGGTGAATAAAATCTTCATGAAAAGTAAATGACAGATAATTTGCACCTTCGTGAGAATGTTTTTTCAGCTCACCAGTAACAGCACGCAGTTTCTGCCAGTTGAGCTTTTTCATCCTCAGGGTGGGGCATGGGCCTGCTTTTACGGGTGCAGCACACCCCAGGGCGTGACTGCTCTGAGCAACTATCATGCCTGGAGGAGGAGGAGGTGGAGGCGGCATGCCAGGTAGGGGAGGTGGCGGTGGTGGTCCGCCACCCATCCCTGGTAGCGGAGGTGGAGGGGGAGGCATGCCTGGACCGCCGGGCAGTGGTGGCGGCGGCGGGGGTGGTGGTGGCATTCCAGGTAATGGTGGAGGTGGTGGAGGTCCACCAAACCCTCCAGGCAGCGGTGGAGGAGGAGGCGGTGGCGGAGGTGGGCACTGGTTAGACGGTTGGAGCGGGGGCCCACTCATACTGGGGGGTAGAGGAGGAGGTGGGGGTGGGGGAGGAGGTGGAGGAGCAGCACACAGAGGCTTCTGAGAGGATGTGACGCTTTTGTCCGTTGTGTCCTGATGATCCAGATCCGTCTGCACGGCCTTATCCAGTTTCAGGACGCTCTGCCCGTCCACTTCATTATGACCCTCAACGCCTTTGGAGAACATCAGCCGCTGCATAATCTTTTCAGAGGACTCCATCTGAGCTGAAGCGCAAATCCAAACAAACAATGACACACACACACACACACACACGAATGAACTCCATTCAAAACAACTTCTCTTACTAAAATAAAAACCTTCAGCTGTCCTGTCAACAGATCTGTTTTTCCTGGATAATCTCTCCCCTTCACACATGAATCACAGAGGAGGCCATTAGCAAGCCATTAGCTTCTTCAGAGTGTTAACCTGAAGCGAATGTGCTGCTGGTTCAGTGCTGACTCACAGTCCTGGGCCAGCAGTATGGCTCTGTTAGTGATGGCCTCCAGAGCCAACCAGATATCCGAGCGTCCCGGCCCTAACACCAACAACGTCTGCAGGATGGACAGCAGCTGGAGAGAGGCTGGAGAGCTGCTCACCTGCACACACCAACACATACACACGCACAACTTAAAAGAGCTTGTCATGTTTACACACCTACGTCACCAAAGCTTCACGAGTGAATCAGAAAGACGACAAGAGGCATTTCCTTTACTGTGATTCAGTTCTTAGAGGTAGATGATGAAGCCAGTCAGACCTTGTTAAAGAGTGTAGTGAAAACCTCCAGGTGATTGCTCATGTCAATCCCCCCGTAGACCCGCAGCAGCTCCTCTTCATCTTCAGCCATTGCTTCCTCAAAAGCTTCACATTGTATAATCAAGTCTTCATCCTCCTGCTCCCTGCACACCACCCACATACAGATCACTGATGGGGGACACTTCATCGCATTTAAATGCCATTTTCAATTTTTTAAAAGCATTGATAAGGGCCTTTGCTCAAATTACTGAGTCATTAATGGATACAAATTGCAAACATCTTCTCCTAAAAGCACCATTTCTACTTAATTACTAAGATAAAGATTGCAGTGATGATGGACTTAAAAACATGGTGCATAAATTATGCTTTAGTCACAAATGTGAAAAACAGGAGGAAGGCTCACCTTAACTTTGGCAAAACATCAAGTAACTGAAGCCCTGCAAGACAACAATAAAACACAGTTATGAGTATCACAACACTCAATTATCAGTGTTTATCAAGTTAATCTTAAGAAGGTGTCACACATCTCTCCACGGTGGCATATGTTAGTTTTTTTGGGAATTGGCAGGAAGTCACAGGTGAGCAATCAAACAAAAGAGGAGTGGCCAAACAAGTGTCTGATTGGTCCAAGGTGGTGGGTGGTATGTTGATGAATTTGGGAGGGTTTACATAGCTGCAACCGTGACATATTTACATTGTTTACAACTGTAGCTTTGTAGCTCACTGCTTAACACTGATGCCTCTGAGGAAAAAAGTAATCCTGTTTTGTCCAGAATATGCTGGGACAGACCCCAAAGGTCATAAGAAAGGATAATTCACTCTAGAAAACACAAACGGTCTCACAAAGACATCATCAAACTCACATTCAACTAGTGTGATTTAATCAATGTAAGAGTGAGAGCATTGTATTTAAACTAAAACTTTTGATTGCCACTACTTATGGTGTGAAAAGCATGAATACACAATGCGTTATCCACTTGTTTGCTCACTTCTCATGTGTTTTGTCAAAGTGAAAATGAGGCCATTAGACCTATTCTTAGACAGACCCAGTGACAGAGATATTTGTAATAGAGCTCCTGCTGATGGCCTGCTTTCCTCTCTGCACACTTTCAGCACAGAGGGGGAACACTTTTTACCACAGTGTGACCTTACTCCTGATGTGACTCTAGACTCCGCATTAATTGTTAAACAGCAGCCGAATAGAGAACCTACCGATAAACTCCTTCCTCATCTTATCTCTCTGCCTGAGGTTATCCATCCCGAAGATGATGGCGTTGATGACGCTGAGGAGTGTGACCATGTACGGGACGTTGTCTGTGGCCTGCAGCTCGTTCATGATCACACTGAAGCGGTACTGCTGTGTCTTCACGCCCTGAAGGGGAAAACCACAGTCAGTGCAAGTGATTAACTTAGAATCACTGATTCTATAAGATTGTTATGCTTGTGCATGCAACCCACCAGTAGAGGGCACTGTTAAAGGTTTTATAACTCAGGATGATGATGTAGGAATAATGTGAGGAAAGTCCCTCAACAGCTTGTCAAAAACAGTGTTAGAAATATGACCTGTTCGTCTACTTGCCTTGTAGTGGTCCAGGGCATCCAGTGCCAGGCGATGGCCATCTGCAGAGAACATGCTGAGGGCAGCAAGTAGCTCAAACACCTGCTTCTTCACCATGGTGTTGGAGGTGTCCAAAGCTGTGGAGCATCATGATCAAACATATCAATACAGGTCGAGTGCTCATATTTCCCATCTGTTTCCCTTATAGCAAGCCCCTATCTCTACTCGTTCCCCCCTTTGTGCCTATAGACCCACGCAGGATGCTTTGTTTCGCTGCCTTGACTCACTCAACTTGAACTTTGCCCTCTAAAGATGTGGCGCACTGAAGATAAACATGTGTTTGTGTGTGTTTGAGGGTGGGGAAATCCAATATTCACAGCACACTATGACACTACATTTTTAGGAATGTCCCGAAGTAACCCAGAATGATTCATCTCTGTCTCTTAACGCTGAGTACTGGAAAATTCAGCTCAGCAGAATGAGACACAGGGAACCAAATCTTGAATAGGGAAGGTCCCTAAACATGACATGGCTTTCTTTTAAATGAACAGGTTGATTTCAAATATACTGACCAAGTTTACTGAAAATATTTTCTCTTTGACATAATCATATGAACACATGGAGAAAGGAGTGCGGTAGATGTGTTGATTTTTTACAAAATGAAGGGTATGGACAACCTTGGGAGAGCTTGCGAATGTATCCCTCATTATCTATAATGAAGTGGATCCCTGCGGAAGAGTTCATGACTGCCCGGACGCAGCTGACGCAGGTGAGTTGCAGAAGGGCGTCTGCAATGCGAGAGCATCCTCGCCCCGAGAGCCGGTCCAAGGCCTCGAGGAGGAGATCCAACCCACTCAGCTCCAGAAACTGGACCATCCATGTCTGGTCGCTGCCCTCCAGGCGACGCTTCAGCCCCGAGTAGTTGACCACGGTGGGGACTTGCAGCAGCCTGATGCACAGCTCTGGATCAGCACTCTCCAGGTTGGCCTCCTGCTGAGTATCCGAGTCCTGAGAGGAGCCAAGGCGGCCTCTGACTGCCGCCCACTTCTTTTTCCCGTCTGACTTCCCTGACATGGTGGCTGCGGGGGGGGGGAAGAAGGAAGAGACACTTTTGTCAATGTGTACACAAATGACAAGAGGCAATTTTTAGCTGCTAAAAATGTCTGCTTGTTTTGGACAGCAGATATCTGTTTGCATCGCTATCCGAAGGTTTCGTCCAGTACAGATGTGGTCATTACTATCCGGGCCAGAGGAAACAGGCCAAAACAAGGCCCTTATCAGAGGGGAAAACAGAATAGGAAACGATAGCTCTGCACTTTGGTGCATGAGTAAAATATATGTCAGCAGTCCAGTCATCACCAGCTCTGCCAAACATTCCTACTTAATCCTGCTTCAAAGAGAAGAGACTTGCAGTTGGCTCGTCAATACGCTCTTCAAAGCCAGGCTCAATGTGGCCTGAACAGTGCGTATCACAATTTACGACATAAATAAATATATTTTCAGGCTCATTACTGGGATATAAACACTGGAATACTTGCACACGCACTTAAACATAGAAACAACCTTTCACAAACATCATAGCAGCGTATCTGATACTGACATGAATGCACACATTGATCCCACAAGTACCCTTTTTTGGCGCAACCCCAGAGCACAGTGCCTTCTTTTACCAACCTGTCTCAGCCCTGAGCTTCTAAAAACTATCCACTGCAAAGCATGTCACTAGTACCAACATGTTCCCACACTTGAATAAAATCAACAGGACGAGGATTCGGGCCAAAAAAGGGTAAAACTTTGTTCAAACGTCTAAAAATACTTCTTCTCTGTTCTGGATTTGTGATATTTGGTGGTCCTGCATAAAAGAGCAATGTGAGTTGTTCTTCTGTCTTCTGTTGCTGATTTCACACTTGGCAAAGATATCATATACAGATGAGACATTGAGTGATGAGTATGAACAAACACAATGCTCTGTATAAAGGTCACTCAGAGAGCCAGCCTGGAAGGAATTACAGCTTTTACAAGTCCTCTATTTTACCATTTAGACAACAAAAGACCCCACTCAGGGATCCTGCTTCATTGTGGTTCCACATGTTAGGAGCTTGGTAAACTAAACTAGTTACAAGTCACTTGCAAATAGCTCTTTTCAAAAGGTAATCTGCGGGGAACAGAAGTGATGACTTGTGAAAAATCTGGCAAACTGGAATGCTATTCATGCAGTAGAGTCAAGGTAAAATGAGGCTTTTCTTTTCTCACATATTCTGGCAAGACATTCGTCAGCTCTGACTGCAGCATTTTAGTCCTGCTGCCAGTGTGAGAGTGTTACCGTGGCAGCAAGCAGCCAGACAATGGTGTTTTACAATAGGCCTTCTCAATTCTCTTCAAAGTGCTCTGTTCATTAGCCTCAAAATGGATGAGATGTCCCCCTCCCCTCCCCACCCGCTTTTTCCGGCTAATACGAGTTATTCCAAGCAAACGTTTAGACACCTTCTGAGTCAGGAGGACGTTGTGCTTTCATGTTCAGTGTGAGATGGGAACAAAAGTTGCAAGTCGATGCTTGTAATCTGGAGCTTTCACAGTTCTGAACACTTGTGAAGCTACTAGGGTTCATTGAAATGTGCTGACAGTTTTGCAAAATGGATTCACTTCTCGAGAAGCCAGTTATGACTTTGATATTTCAAAGGAAACAGTGTGTGGGTCATGTGTGCTGACTCCCCACTCCCCAGCATGGCTCAGGAACTTATCATAGGGAAGGAAAGGACTTTCCCGGGACAGGAAACTCGGCTCAAGATAAATACGCTGGTGTGACAGCCCATGTTCCTCTTATTGAAATGTCTGTTTCATTCCCAAGGACAGAAATTCTTCTCACGCACAAACATCTGGGTAACATGAAGGAGCAGCGTCAAAGATCAGCTGGGATGGAGAAACATTTGTGTATTCTTTCGTGCGCTCCTCGAATATAAGCAACTTTTACTTGCCGACCTTGTCTGCCAGAGCTCCCACATGCACCGCTAATAGCAGGCTGATTCACCGCACACAGGACAAGCCTACTCATCTGTCCTCTGGTTAAGCCGCCCCCGCAGCAACCCACTGCTACTGTACAGCATCAACACTTAGGAAGGCGAAGAAACATCTCCGGTGATTTATTTCCTCTCGGACATATGCAAAGCTTATGCATGGTTGTCTTTTCCTCCAACTGTTCTGTGTATGTCAGCAGCAATACATAAGTGAAGAAAGGAATAGATTTAGGGAGAATTCATTAAATCTTCATTCACCCGTTTACACCTTTCTCTCTCTTTTCTCACTTGGTTTGAAATACCAGATAGAGTTGGGAGATACAGGATGGGGATATGAGACTGCACCTATACTGACATGATGATAGTGGACACATTAAAAACACGTGTTAACACATGGAACATTTTACAGTATTTGCACAATGTTTATTACAACAGAGAACATCTGGTACACATGTGACAGATTTCCTAACCTCCTCTCTTCCCCTGTCTGTTATTTAAGGGAGTGAGCGACATGCTTCTGAGTTGGAATTTATCTTTTAGTTGTAGTTTTAGTTTCCAGACTGCCTGGAAGATTTCTCTAGCAACTGTGAGATTGATTTGCAAAGCAGGAGTGACACCCCATACGGCCCAACACACAGTTTTTTTCTCTTCCTCACAGCCTCATTCCTCCTCATTCTGTCCTAAGGCAAGAAGGGTTAGAGGGAACAGACTATTCCTCCTCCAGGATGGCTCGACAAGACTGTGACACCACACTACCACTGCCAGTATGCCTATGTGCGTTATACACCGGGCCACTATGAGAAATAAAGGAGCTGAAACAGCGACATTAACGGCGCAACATCATGACTTTGCGCTGTGATTTTATTCCCCACATACCAGGGGACATAACGGGACCAGTCACCTCACTGTGGCGGGTAAAAGACACCAGAAAAACAACACGATAACGCTCATCACTTTCGCTACTGCACATGTCGAAGCTCAATACACTGTTGCACCGTTATAGATCACCTATAAGCTCACCGTGATGCCTTACCTGGTTTTATTCCATCAATATCCACTTGAAGAATCGCGTCCTCTGGTGGGTTTCAGCTGGCGGGAGCGCTTTGCAGTCGTCCACACAACCTTTAATTCTGCCCAAAAAAAAAGAGACATGGACCCCTGAACATTTCGGCACTGTTTTGGTAGGTCCGACCCTGCGCGGTATGCGGATGGCACCGCTTCCAAATTGCTACGGCCCCTGAGCTTTCACTTACGGTACTTTGTGAGCCCTGTTAGTGTCAATGGGGCAACATTACTGCGGTAACACATCCGCTCAAAACCTTCAGAATAAAACACATGCCTACTATTTCACTAAATAGTGAATACAGCTTAACAGAGTAAAATACAAATAATGGGGTTATACAAAAGTCCGAAATAAACATGCAGCGTCAATTAGTACGACTTAGAACAACTTTATGGTTTTTAGACTTTAGCTAACTAACGTTAGCACTAAACTTAAAATCATAGAAAAAAAAACTAATTCACCACAAATTACACACACACATGCACAAAATAGCTATTGTAAATGGAGTACCTGCTAAAAAAAGGCTCCTACCAAGGTCGTTGAATAGTAACTTACAAAGAAGAAGATATGACTGGTCACATCTTTTTACCTTCACTGTAACAACTGCTGTGTAACTGAGGCGTTACTCCTAGCAACGGATCTTGAACTTAAAGTAACTGCCGGGGGAGTAAATGAAATCACAGTTTATTTACACAAATATTTTTCACTGCGTATTCACACCACCGACAGTATGATTCACACTCAACTCTATGGTTTTATTTTGAAGGCAGATTGGCCTAATGTCCGGTTTGAATGTGTCTGTCGGTGTCTGCCTTGAAGCTGTTTGTGATGCTGAATGCAGCCAGTTGTTGGGCCCTCCTCCCTCACTCCCCATCCCATCAGCTGGCTCTGACCTGTGGCCCCCGATTAGTCGCGACTGGAGGGAAATGGTCTTGGGTTCCCTGACTCCCCAAATCAGTCGACTACTCTTGACAGTACAAGTCTCATGTCACAGTAACAGATTCTATATTACTTTTAAGTGAATGTGTTTTTATCGGATAACTTAAAACACAATGCCCAGCCCTCTGGGTATGTATAGTTCTGACTGCCCTGGAGAGCCTTGTGGGGCATTAGAACAACATTTATAGGCATAACATTCGCCTTTCGTTCTCTGTGATGGAGACCAGCACTCATCCTTTCCCCCAGTGCATTGGCACACCTTTAAATTATTTAGATCAGAATCCAGTAGTCAGACATAATCCGAGACACCCAGATGTAGGTCTAATCTTACCTCAGGAATGTAAAATCTTCCTCAAAGTACATTTTTTATTCACAACTGTATTGATAAAAGTTGGGGATAAGGGGACATGAGCCAATTTATGACCTATACAGTAGCCAACAATAGAGCATATAGATAATAATTCAGTAAATTCTTAATTATTTTTGGACTTTGTACTTTGCTTGCAATGAACAAAATGTCCTGTGATTCAAAACACCAAATAAATATAAAGTTCATGAAATCCATAACTAACCCCTAACCCTAATCCTTGAGTGCATTTTCTTTTCAGTGAAGATGAGCAGATTGGGATGAAGCAACAGGCAAAGTGTGGTTGTTTTTAATCATTATTATTATTTTAAAAATTCTTATCACTGTTTGCTATGCATATAGAAATCTTTAATAGACTTTTTTCATTTTGCATCTGAATCAGACAAGCTTTACTGTCACAAATGACACTAGTGACATTTGTTTGGAGCTGGATATTTTGTTGAGAACTTCACATCACAGCTGTAATCATTCCCCCTGTGACTTGAGGCTACTTATCTGGCTAAGAGGAAGTATATGCTAACTGTATTGTTACGCTGCTTTAGGTCCCCTGAACCAAAGTATTCCAACCATAAGATGGTTTGTTAATAGAGGAAACTGGGGCTTTATTCTGTAAGGGACACCTCTGAGAAATCATCAAGTTACAACACTAAAGAATGTGCAGGATAGCTGCATTTACCATGATGCTGCTTTGTTTAAACTGAGCAACAAAAGCAAATATTATGTGCTCATCATGAATAGTCCATGACTCTCTTGCTGAGCTAGTTGAACAGGATTGTGAAACCCATCAGTCGGAATCAAACTCTGGATACTTCAAAGCAAAGTCAACATCATTGTCACATTTTCATTTATTGTTATACAGGAATACACAACAAGTGTTTGAAATACTTCAAAGTCAATAGACAACATCAGTGTCACGTTTCCATTTATTATATACGTATGCAAAACAAGTGATTTCTCACTTATTTCAGGTACAAACTGACCCTTAACCTACTAGACCTGCAGCAAAACCTCCTACATAAGCATGGGATGTGTCTTGTGTCAGTAGTTCTACCGTGTGTTGTGACAGGATGTGCTGAACGTACTGAGCCCTATAAGGGCACTACCACAGCTCTTCGTGATTAACATCCTGAGAGAAGCTGTCCATTAGCAAATAACATGGAACTCTTTTATAACCTTGTAATTTTCCTACTAAATTTCAGAAAAGCGGAGCTGCTTGGAGACATGTCAGTACATGTTCCTGGTTCTGCATCATCACAGATCCTGCCACAGGAACTGCTGCAACAGTAGGATTATCCATAAAAACCAAATTATCACTGAACCACAGACAGACCCGTATCCGGAAAAAATAAAAACGCAGATTCATCTCTCTTTTGGAAAATAACTATTGACCCTTCATAGGGCACTCATTGAAATACTTGGAAATTTTAAATTTCAACCCTGGAGTGGCATCGGTGGATATAAGAAGACATTTTTTCTGTTTAGATTTTTTTTTAAAGTTCAGTTTTAGGCTGAAAATCTAAGTCAGTGATGTTTAGGTGGGCTGGCACAACAAGAATCGCCTCTTCCCATAGAAGGACTGAGCAAACAGCTGCTGCAAAAGACATATGCCACATCAATATACTATGAAAATGAAAATATGTAATAAATAGCCATAAGCAAATACAGATCCGAGCCATATGATGTATTTGTGAAAAAAAGCAGTAATTCACGTGAACGTATATTTAGTATTATTCACCTATAAAGAAATAACACGAAATATGCCATAGAAGTGTAATAAGAAACCGTCATAGGATAATTACCATATAATGGTTCCTCTCCGATTAAGGGTTAAAAAAAATGAGTCATACAAATAATATAAATTTTTAGCTTGTTGTGTTTTAATTTTCTCGTCTCAATGCACTCAATATGTTTATCTGACTGTAGCTATCTGATATAGTGAGGGACACAAACTCCCACTGAAGGAACCCAGAATGGTGACACAAACTTACAGAAAGCAAAGAGAAGTGACACAAATTGAGTTTCACTCACGTGAAGATTTTTGATCACCACAGGATACAACAACGAGTTGTCTAGAATCAACGACTTGAACAAAGAAAATCACTCTATTATATGCATCTTTCCCAAAGAATGTGGCCTCTTTCCCAAGGATGTCTATTGGTGACGTCTAATGTCTGATAAACAGTAGTCATATTACATCTGATGCCCTCCTCTCCCAGAGACAGCCTTGGTCTTTGGAACGTGCCTAGCTCATGGCACAATGAATAACACCTCTCCTAACTAGGGTGAGACAACCAGAATGTGAATACATGAGGATGAACATAAAATATTATACAAATTAAACATGGAATAACACAACATATATATAGTTTATTCATGTTCATGCAGAACCCTTATCCTGAATTCATTTTCCCACTACACCTCTTTACTGAGACGAGTGCTCTGATCAGAACAATTGTTTTAATATTTAGTTCATGATCCTTTCTTCAAATCAAAGCAATATCATTATTAGGTTTCAACTAAAGTATATTCGTTATCTTGGTTCCCATGAAAGATGCCTCGAGTCCATTTACATTTTACAATTGATACAAGGTGTCGTCAGGTTTACTCAAGTAAAACCGAAGATTTAAGCAGGGTACATCAAGATTCAAATGTACACAAAGGTGGAGCCCTGCTGCCCAGAAGAAAAACACAAACTGTAAACTGTTGTAATACGTTCTGCAGAGCCTGACAGCTCCATTGTCAGGCTGATATTATAAGCTGGTATTGGCTTATCATGGACATATAAGTACAGGTGTTTATTATGTGTTTATGCTGGCAGATTTGCAATAACTAATAAAACATAAATGCTGAAGAGAGCTTAGGGTAATTTTTAGAAACAGTGTTGCTGTTACATAACGTGTCCACCAGAGAGCCCTCTGTACTCATTATAGCAATCTCATGCACCAGGGTTAGCAGAGTGCAAGCCAGCAGACACGGTTATTATTCAAATATAAAATGTGACAGCTCATTGAAAGGAAGATTTGAGGGCTCCTTGGTAAATGTGTGTGTTAATGTGCGTGTGTTTATGTAGAAAAATACTGAAGGCCAATACATCCTGCCTACTGTCAGTTAATGTTTTTTGTATTTATGTCATTAATATTTTTAACATTTTCAAAAATAAACATAATACTGTGAAAAGTAAAGTAAAAAAAGACATGAAACAGTTAAGGAAATGGTTGAGAAGCACAATGCAGATTTTCCATTCACAACTACTATTGCATTGAATATAGCTCAAATTTATATGGTAATAAATTGCCAACTGCATGATGGACAAACAATTACATTAAATATATAAATTAATTAATAAATAAATGTAAAAACACATAAATAACTAAATAAACACATGTAAAAAATACAGAAATAGACACTTTCTTTACCAAAATGTATTTATTTATGTATTTATACTTATGTCATTTTCGTCCTTCATAGATACTAGAGTTAAAATGCTCAAAATCTTTCAGCATTTAACACCCGAGCGAGCAGCCGAACAAAAACTACATTTCCCAGGTTGCACTGCACATCTTATGTGAAAGGTCGTCGACGTCAAACTCATGCTGCCTGGAGCTGGAACAACAACAAACGAGCTAAATTAGCTAAACGTTATCATTGCGTTTGAATTAGTTGTTTTTCTCGTGTTGGTACTGTAGCTCGTTGTTGGTAGAAATGTCCGGAAAGGCCAAAGATATCCTACAGCTGGACCTGTATGGTTTACTGGGCATTGAAAGCACTGCTACAACGAAAGAGGTGTGTGAATTAGCTAACTATATATATATATATACAGCTTTACAGTTACTAAGTTATCTGCTTTTGATATTAAGCACAGGGCAGGATTGAGAATGTTTCTTTGAAAGACAGTTCATCCGAGGGTCAGCTAACATAGCGTTAAATATTAAAACAGCAGTTGTGCGTCTACAAAGACTATTTTGTGTACAAGCAGGAGGCTAGCACAGCCTGCTACTATGGAGCTTCTACAAGTGTGTGTGTGTGTGTGTGTGTGTGTGTCTGAATCGTGTGCTCGTTTAACGTTATAATAACGTCACGTCTTTTGTTCCGGTAAGTAAAGCGAGGACTCACATTACAGGTCCACTGAGAGCCCAGAGAGCAAAAGACAGACAGACAAACCTGCTAATGGCTATTATAAACACCTATAATAGGTGTGATACACCGAAAAGGCCACTGAGGGGCGACGTTGCACCAGTCAGGTGTTTGGTATCGATCTGTGTGAATGTAAACCATATAAAGCCAAGGTCTGCTACTAACGATCATTTTAACTGTCAGATAAAAAAGAGAAAAAGTAAAGTCGTTTTTGCAGAGCCCGAGGAGACATTGCTGATATTCAAATTAAATGAATATAAAGCAGCAATTTATCACAATGGAGGAGCAGAAGTATGGAGTGTTTAGCATGTTTTATTTTAGAAATAACTTAAAATAGTTAAATGATTATCACAACGGGGGTCAATTATTTTCTGTTGATCAACTTTAAAAACAAACAAACAACATAATTGATATAAGTTAGGAGCAACAATATGATCATTTTGTGCCTGCGTGGATTTCGAATCAACTCTGGGAATGTTCCCTGACTCCCCTTTTTATTCCCAGTCTAGAGTGGTTCACCATGATATCCTCAATGCAGCCTCTTCCCTCCGACCACCTCTCCTCACTGTTTCCAGCATCTAGAATCCACAGGCCCAAAGGGAAATTAAAATCGCTGCCAAAGCGAGGGAAGAAGTTAATTTCTTAATTGGATTTCAAAGTCCTGTCCTCCCCAGAGAATTATCCTGGAGGAAGTTAGTGGTTGTGGCTTGGGTAGAAATGAGACTCCAAAATGCAGAAGGCTGGCTCTGTGAGGTCTGTTGATGGTCGAGGGAGATAGTGAGGGGTTTGTGTGTGTGTGTAGTGCATTGAGTCTGGAGTGGCTCAAAAATCAATCAAGTGGGTGAAGACAGATGTCATCAGATGGGCTACTTATCCCAGTTGTTTGGCTCGCTGCTCGACCGCCACCGTCAGGCACGTTGTTTATCACAGAGAGAGGGGAAGAAGCGCATCCCAGAGCCTGTTTATGTGGGCTTTGCCACTGCTTGTAAAACATCGCCTTGACGTAGAGGATTTTCATTCTGCGTCTCCTCCTGGTTCTATTTAGCATCTCTTTCTGTTATCACTGCCTGTTGACCGTCTTCTGAGCTCGGCTGTGTGATAAATGCTGGTGAAACTGGCACAGCAGAGTCTGTGGTTTAATGACCGGGGGTTTGCTTTATCCCTGTAGTGCTGAAGGCTAGCCACCATTTAAAGAGTTATGCTTGTGCATATCAGCAGGGCTTGGGTAATAATCACCTAAGTGTGTGTGTATTACCTACCACAGATTGCGTGGTGAAACCATGTCAACAGCCAAGACCACACAACATTTCTTGTGGTTTATTCAGCTACTTAAATTGTAATTAGTGTACCTGGTGTGTTGCAGTATATGCACTAACTGAATGCCTGGGTGATTTACTTCCAGACAAATCATCCAAGGAGGGGTAACTGTAATAGCCCGTTGTAAGCTCGTTGCTCTAAATGATGAGTTGCTTCTTTGGTGCCTGCTTGGTCAGGGCGGGTAGATTACGACTGTTACTGCACCATCCAGTGCATTGGGGCACAGAACCAGTGATGCAGCCTGTGTTCATTGGCTGTTTCAACATTTAAACATCAGACAGCATCAGACGGTTCATTTCTGTTCACTGCATTGATTACATTGTTTTACATTGCATCAGACCAAACTCTTCGCATATGATGTAAATAAAAACCTGAACAAGAAATATTAAATAAATATATTTAAACTTAATACCATTCCATTAAAAGTTATCATCGGATAATCGGTGCCCAGCTCTGCTGCAGGTTTGCTCCGGTCCACGAGCACAATCCCAGCGTCTCACTGTTTCTCTTCGTTAAATCCACTTTTTCTTTCAGCTCTTGTTTTCTCTCATGGCCTCGTTGCCCCTGTCCGTGCACCTCTCTTTTCCTCTCCCTGTTGCGCCTGTTATTATTTTCCTCCAGCTGATAATGTCCCATAAATAGCAGACCGTTGTAATTAAGGAGGATGGGCCCATGGCAGATCAGCCAGCTAATCAGCCACACAGGCTAGGGGCCCTACCCGGGCTGGTCTGTGGCTGCACCAGGACCAGTTGGTCAACTATAATTGGCACCAAAGACTGGTCTAATGAGGACAAGATGTGGGCATGCAGTTAAGACTGTGACAGGCAGGGATCAAGAGAAACAGTTTTTCGCCAGGCACTAACCATTAGGCTACTGTTGGCCTGCTGCTGCAAGATTACAGTCTTTCCTTGATTTCTTAGTTCCTCCTTCTGCAAACTGAAGCGTGGGATATAGTTGAGATTTCTGCAGTTCAGTTTGTCTCATGTATGACAAAAGGAAAATGGACATATTACAATGTAGAATAATTTGATTTGGAAGAGATAGAAGACACAGCGCAATTAAATACCAACATTTGTGCCCATCTGTAAGCACAAGGCACAGCAGTCTTAGTTTTTATCCCAGGAGTTCTCATGGTTTTCTCTTCACACGGTCTTAATTGAAGTAGAGCCAAGAGCCAATCCTAAAAGGTCGCGGTGAACTGCACAAAAATAATTGCTACCGTAATTGACTGGATTAGTCCTGTAAGAAGATGCCACTCTTATCTGAGAGCGCTCATCCACACATGTGCTAACCTCTTCAAAAGTTGGCCTGCTTTGGCTTCCAGTTTGTCGGACCAAGGGGCCTCAGGGTCTTCCAACATCAATTAGGGCTTGCGTGTTACGGCGTCGATGGGACTAATCATGTATTATTTAACAAAACAGCACTGGAGGCAAAGTGGAGACAAGATATCGTGAAGGATGCTAGAGAGAGTGAGAAGGAAGAGACAGGAGTAGGAGATAGAGAGAAGGGGGGCGGGGGGGATAATTCACTGAAATGGAGATAAGTATGTGTGTTAACTAGATCTTTAACTGAACTGAACTCAGCAAGACAAAGATGATGACGTGCAACATGGCCGCTTTCCACCCGCACAGAATCAATGCTGACAGGTTGTACTTGTCAAAAAGCTCAGCTGGCCAGACTTTTGTCCTGACAATGTCAAACATATGCTATGTTTACAGCAGATGAGGAGTCAGCTGGCTGCAGGTGATGAAGAACATGAGAAGTAGAGTGAGTGTGAACCGAGGACACAGCTTGAAGCGTTGCAGTGGTTTTGTGCATTTCAGCCCCTTTTTATTTCAAATCACACACGCGTAACTTCACAGCTGCAACCTGTGCTGCTTTGTTTTAGAATTCTTTGTCATTTTCTACCATTCCAGGTATCTTTTCTCTATGTGTTGTCAAAGCACTGATAGGGCTGTGTAAGGCATGGCGTTATCCAGCTGTTATCACTGCTACCCGTTGCTCCGGACACAGTGGCTTTCATAGTGGCTTTCCTTTCATCTCGCTCTCGGTGAGGAACCGAATCAATACATTTGAACCTGAGCTTGAGTTCTTATTTCCTTGCTTGTACCTTACCAAAAGTCTTCGGAGAGAATTTGACAAATCTATGATACTGAGCAGAATGAAAAGAAAAGGGACAAACAGACAGAGGGAGGCTAAAAAGGAAAAGCAGCAGGATTAGGCCAACAGTAAGCATATGTGTTTGGCAGCAGTCCACGGCCATGTGTGTCAGGCTCGATCTGTAGGAAGGCTCTGTGTGCCAAGCAGCCAGACTAAATATTCTATAATAAAGTCTAGTCTCTCAAAGCCCTCTCAATGAACCAAGTTCTCATTTACTATTGGAACTAAAACCCAAAAATCTGATGTTGACTAAGAGATAGAAGAAAGCAATAGTGACATTTAGGAGCTGTTTGGGCCTCAATTATCTCCAGAGGGCTTGCTACTTTCATATAATCATGTGGAGGCTTAACTCTTGTACCTTGGACAGCGGGCATTTGGCCTAATGTGTCTAAGTTGACTGTCATGGAGACTCATTTAAGTTCCTGTTTAAATGGCTCAGACACTGATGGATTACACCATTCTGCTCAGTTCCCTCAGAGTTGAGTTGTGTTTTCCCCCCAGTAAAGTCAGCTCTGTATGTTTTGGCGTGCACTCTAGAGATAAAATTGTGCAAAACAACACACAGGGAAACACTGCATATGCCAGAGGACAAGGCGTCCAATGCAAACGTTTCCCAGACATGAAGAAAGGAGCTCCCAAATTCTGTGGCCCGTAGCATACTGGCAGGAGACTGATTTGCACGAAGGGGGTCTGTGAAAACATGCAGAATGTTGGCACGGCTGATTAAGAGTGGTGAGAAAGTGTATGTCTGTGTTTTGTGTCTGAGCTTGGATGTATGGGGGATGTATGTGCCAAATCCGTTGCATGCAATGCGTAGATATGAGCTGGTCTGCAGAAAGCTAAGCGCTGCACTCTACAGCCCCCTCTGGTCTCCATGGAAAGTTTTCCTGCTTCCCTTCTTCCTCCAGAGGAGCAGAGATCTAATGAAAACCACCTTGTCATTAACGGGTCCCTAGAAGGACCAATGAATGGTTAACATTCCAAGCAGTGACCCAGAGTTAAAAAATCAGCTCTAACTAAAACCTCATATGACATTACAATACTCCAAAGTATTGTTTAGTTTTTCCACTTTGGTTCTCTGAACCCCCCCAAAAGGTTTGGCTACTAGCCTAAGATATTAATGGCGGCCTTCTCAGATTTGTTATATACAATGGCACTCTGTTTGTGTATGTTATTGTAACATTTTTTTAAGTTTGGATAAAGATGGACTAATACTAGGCTGAAACTCAGGCCACATTTATCTTGCAAACTGGCAGCAGGCCTGAGAATAGTTTGGAATTTTTGTGCGGGTAATTCACTGTGCAGTATGTGCCGCGGTGGTTAGATTCCACTAACAACATGTCAAAAGGATACGAAGCAGAGGATCAGCTCAGGTGTTGATTTGATCCAAACGATACACTCATTTTTTTATTTAAATGCGGACCACATTTCACCCCCAGTGCTTTCATGTCAGACTGTTGCCATTAGTGCCATTATCTCAATGGGACCATCATTTTTTATTCAGACTTTGGTTTTCTGGGCCAAGGACGACAGGATAAAGATAATTGGTACTGAAAGTAAGAATTTTACTTTCACAAAATCTGCTCTTAAGTGGATGATTTGTTCTCTTTGTGTTCTAATCAACGTTTTCCACTGTACATAACTCTAGGGGGTTCTTCTGTTTTTCTCCTAGATCAAGAAAGCTTATCGACAGAAAGCCTTGACATGCCATCCGGACAAGAACCCAGATAACCCAAAGGCAGGTAGGTGAATCAGTTAATGTGTTTGTTTCTCTTCACCCCATTGTGAACCGCAGAGCTCTGTCAGTCACAGTAGAACTGGAACAAGATTTATTATTTGTTTATGCAATTTCTTCATTGTTTTCTGAAGAATTAGAGTTAATTGTCTGACCGAGCCGCCATCGAGCTTCCTAACCAAAAATGAATGGTCCAGAGTAGCGCTCTCAGCAAGTTACCCTGCCAGACAACCTAGCCACAGCATTGTGTAGGAAGTATAACCAGCGCCTGCCTCTCCCGCCGGCTTTCTACCCAGACAGGTCCAGCAGAGCACCGCCACCGTCACCACCAGCGTTTCCACACTTCTTAGCTTTTAAGAGTCCTTCCCCGGCCTGTCGCCAACCAGCATGTCAATAATTAGACCAGGAAATCTCAATGTAGCTTTTTGTCGGGAGAGGGGGGAAAAAAAGGCACCTTGGACAAAAGACTGGTCATGAGGCATGTTTTCAAGTGAGGTTTATGTGGTTGCTGGATGGTTCAGACAATTCCTGATTATGTCGGGGGGAAAAAAATGGGAAATTGGTGGGGTTGGGGGGTTGAGAGGGATAATACAAAAGCAGGGGGTCGGTTTCCCAGAAATGGAAAAGAAGTGGTTTGGAGGGCCTCAACACTTGAACCCGCACATGGACAAACTCGGTTTCTATCGCACGAGAGCGGAGCAAGTCTTGGGACTTGCTGCCCCTTAGGGGAAGCTTGTACGCATGTAAAAGGTGACTTGGGGGTCATGATTTCGCACAGACTGAAGACACCCCCCACTATTCCCTCATTTTCCTCAACCCCCCATGTTGTGACACTCTGAGCTGCCTAGTGGGCATGGCAGGTCTCTCCCAGTTGGATTTCATTCCAGCCCATTATATGCGTGTAGGTAACCTGACCGCCTCTGCTGGCAGCATGATCTTCAGAGCCTCCTGTTAGTGTGTTCTGCCAGTCCCCACAGGGAGTAACAATATCGGTCCGTTAGGCCTCCCATAAGTGAATGATTAAGCCTGGCCAGTATAGTACAGTAGTGTGGTGGTTGCATGATGGGGAGTGGTATTATGCTCTCCCTGTGTACATTTGTGTGTGCGTGTTAGATGACAACTGGGGAGGTGGGGTCTTCTATGGTAGTGGTGATTGCGGCGGCGGCCTCTCGAGATGCTCTAATGGAAGATAGATGGAGAGGCCAAGGGTTTGTGAGGGAATGCACGGCTGTGTCATTGTAGGGAACAGGTTTCGTGAGACTTACAGCACTTTTTAAAGCATAAAATGTCTCTGTTTGTCTCAGCCCTGTGACTTAGATTCAGCTTGAAGATATCATGCTAAGCTCATAATACGTTTTTGGCATAAGCCCCTTGTAGATGTCATTTTCTCTTCACTTCAATGTCACACTCTCTTGTCTCTTGTGTTCAAGTTTTCAAATTGATAGTTCCCAGTGTTATATCTGTGAAATTGTAGCCATATTTTCATGCTCCATCATGTTCCACATGTAGAACATTTTCCCCTAAATATAAAAAACCTAAAATGAAGGAGTTTCTGTATGTATTCAGTAGCAGAATTTTCAGTTTTCTTGCCTCTCATGTCCCTTTCTTCCAGTGGAACTCTTCCACCAGTTGTCCCAGGCTCTTGAGGTGCTAACGGATGCTGCTGCCAAGGTAAAACTACTAATGCCTGCCCTCCAAACTTGTTAATAAAAGTGCTGACACTTACACACACACACACACACACACAATTCATCCTGGTGTCCAATACTGTTTTCAGGCTGCATATGATAAGATTTGCGCTGCCAAAAAACAAGCTGAAGAAAGAAACAGGAAACTAGATGACAAGAGGAAGAAAATTAAGCTTGGTGAGTCACTTTGCAATTCTCAAAGGCTATTGATTTTCTCTTTATTAAACGGGTTATTGTATTGGTATGTGAATACATTTATTTATATCTCTTTTTATTGTCATCCATATTCCAGTTATAATACATTTCTGTGCCAAGCAATGGTTTTGTCTGTTTCATTGTGGGAACGAGATTCGGTATGAGTATATGAAAGAGATACAGCCTCTTATGTGTGTATGTGCGTCTGTGTGATACTGTTACAGACTTGGAGACCAGAGAGCGAAATGCAGAAGCTCAGAGTCAGGAGGAGGTGCAAATCACTAGAACACTTGAAGAAGAGGTAAGAGAATATATAGAAACCATGTGAGAGATGATAATGCACCAACCATTGCCTGGAGAAGATATAGAAGTGTACTGGGAACAAGGTATTCCTGTGCATCCAGGAAACTTTGAAGCACACCCAGGTGCTTTTATTCTGTTTTTTGTCAAAGACTCCCTTCTGATTGAGTTGAAATCTTCCAAAGACTTGGGACAGGAACAAAGGCACTATCTGAGAGAGGCTTTTTTGTTACTGCCATATTATAATTATCAGTAAATCCATTAGGTGATATTGCATGACTTGATGCACTTTGTTTGGAAAGCCAATGATAAATAAAAATGGTGTGCGTGCTTCCACAGTGAGTCATGGCATGTGTTCAGTGTGCTTAATGCATGCAAATATGTGGCCATGTGCCTTGGGGGGGAGGAGGTGACCAGTAGGTGGCACTGTTCCATTTTCTGTCTCATCTCAAGGTGTTATTGCCTTAACTGGAGAAATAAAGTGGTCTGCACATTCTGCTGGAAACACTGAATAGCAGAAAAGGTGAAAATAATATGCGAGATATACAGGAGGCGATCGGTGCTTAATGAACAGTAAAGATGCATCATTTGCTGTCACTTAAAACTAGTATACCTATTTGTGCACATTACGGTATTGAACGTGTCATTTTCCTCCAGATCGCCCGTTTGAGAGAGGAGGGATCCAGACAGCTTGAGGAGGAACAGAGGCTTATCAGAGAGCAGATCCAGAGAGAAAGAGAAGCACAGCAGCAGGAAACGGGAGGCTATCCTCAGAGAAGTATGTCCACTTTTAAGATTTAACCTAGTCCAATCTGTTCCAGCCCAGATTAGTTCATTTCAGTCCTGTTCTGCCTGGATAAATTCCATTTGAGACAATGTTGAGAGCCTCAGCTGAGTGAACCGCTATGTTTCCCAACCATCATAGTGTCAGTCCAACCGCAGCAGTCACCAGGCACCCAGTGGTTCACCAAAAATTACTCACATAAAAAAAACAATAACTGAATGTATATTTTAATTTTTTGCTTTAAAAGACTTTGAAGAGGTCTATTTTAGTGTCTTGGCAGAAAGACAACTTGGCAAGGTAACATAGGAATGCCAAGCACCACGCACACATATAGTTGTCCATCAAACTTTTAACCTCTTGAAAATATTTTTGCAGTAAAACATTGGTCTTTTAAAATAAGATTATGGAAGTGTGGGTATTTAAGGGAAACGCTGATTCTTGGCCATATACTAGACCCCTTTTTGTGGCTGGACAATCACTGGTGCATAGTCAGCACGTCTTTTGAATCTCTCCCATTTGCACGCATTCAGGCCTCCCCAGCCCTCCCCTGGATCAGCACTCTGTCTGTTCCATCTCGAGAGGCACTCAGTGGATCATCAGACTGTAGCAAGAGCCATACATTTGCCACGTGACAGCCAATTTAAAATTGCTGTCCATCTGCACGAGTCCCTCGACCCTTGCTATTTCGATTGCCGTGTTTCATGCCTCAACAAAACAATTGATTCTTTGTCTTTTCACTGAACTGTCTCATCCTTCACCCACATGTTTTTTCTCAGACTCGGGAGTGGAGAGATGTTCCAAGAGCAATGTGACCCCCAAATTGAAGGTAAGGTATTCAACTATGGGGTTTTCAGACAGTGGATGAGACTCTAAAGAGGTTGGGATGGTTATTCTTGGAGGATAACGCAGGAAGATGGAAAAGAGAACGGGGGTCCCAGCATATTTAGAAGGAACTGCTTCATGTGAGTGAAAGTGCAGGCAGAACCTCAGCTGGGATCTTCATAGAACTGTAGACATTTGTAGTTCATTATTTGGAGACCACATATGCTGTCTCACCACTGAGTGCACAGGCCGTTCTAACGCCCATTCCTCCAGAGTAGGCCCGACGTCGTCAGGAGACCTGTAACTATGCCAAGAGAGGGCTTATTATATTTCCTCCTGGAAACGGCTTAGCCTGTGCATATTAACGGACACTGGGGATGTTAGCTAATGTGTTTAGACATTAAATCTGGTTTTAAAATTTGATAGCCATCTTGTGCAGCAGTGTATTCCCCGACATTTGTGTATTCAGTTAGAAAAACAAACAGCAGGCATAAGACTGACAGTGTCACAGGTCATGTTCAAGGACATGGGAACATTACTGCATAGATCTGGCTGTTGAATTGTGTCTACTATTAAAAATTATTTCTTTGCCTTGGAATCTAAATATTTTTAATCCAATGTCCTTCTGTTTTCTCTAGACTCAGATTGTTTATTATGTGTTTTTTCCTGTCCAATAAGAATAATATTACATCTTTAACCTTGGTATTCAGGATTAAACTTGATTTTTAGATTACAGCAAATCTCTGGGAATATTAGACAAATGATGTTCAGCAAAATTATAAACTGCTTTGACTATTGCAATGAATCTGACGTCAATCATTGATATATTCTGCTATCTAGTTTTAGTATCCACAAAGTAAGTAAACATCAAAATTGGAACGAGCCATTTGGTTTGGTTCCACTGATATCTTTCCTATTTGTACATTTTTGCAAACTTGGAGCAGGAGAATGCAATGTATCAGTGTTGTGGTTTAAAACCGTAGACATCACATCATGCAAAAAACATCTTATTTGAAGATTAATGGCTAAGGAGGTTATCAGCGGGTACAGGACACTGCTCTTGGAAGCAGAATGTACATTTTCAACCGTAATTGTTGGTAAAAGTGGCTATGTAGACATGGAATTTCCCAGAAATCCTTTTTCTCTGACAGTGAGCAGAATGCTGGAGCTGAATCAACACTTAGTACTTGCCATTTATAATACTACTTTAAGCAGTTAGTGTGATATTGGCTAGACTCTCTGAGAAGTTGCACAATATCTTCTTTTAGGAGTACGGGAACTCACATCAGCATTTAGTGACAAGACTCCAAGCAAGTAAAAGGAAGTCGATAAATTATCTTGTCATCGTTTATGAAAGCTATTCATTGGAGCTGTTCAGCTCTTATGAAGAGAATAATTGTACAATAATTTCTAAAATAGCATTTACACAGTGCAATATGGTAAATATCAAGACACAGAAACATTGTTACACAAGCAATAAGCTAACCGCAGTTCAAACAAAGACGCAACACATTCCAGAGGACAACTTCCTCTCTTTTAGAGTACCTTGGGCATTGACCTGCTTTGAATTACTTAGTCATTATTGTGTCTGGTGTTGTGCTCTATTCTGTGGAGGTATAGTTAAGCAGGTGAGTCACCATGTTATTCTCTGGTCCAGGGCTCCGTGTGTTCATTTTCACCCTTTTTAGCTGTCTGTCACCCTCAGTAAGAATGAAAATTGACTGCAGGTCTCACAGGTAGTGCTGGGGTGATGTTCCAAGAGCGTAACAATATCTTTCTCGAGTTTGTCCTGATGGTTTTGGTGATCTGTGTGTCAGCAGAGCCAAGCTTGCTTGCGGTGTCTCCTGGTCAGCTGAATTTAATCATTTGTGCTCTACGCTGTACTGATTAAACATTATCATGCACTTCTTTAATTCTTGAAAACCCTCATGATAAACACAGGCCTCTCCTTTCTGCCTTCTTTCTCGTTCCAGTTAAAGTGGAAGTGTAAAAAAGATGATGGGTCAAATGGAGGCTACTCTGAGGACATCCTTTTCAGACTTCTACAAAAGGTACACATCCTGAAAATCAAATCAGTTGTGCCACAATGTTACAGTACTAATAATTTTTTACAGCAAAACGTCCATAAAAAGTCTTGCCCTTAGGACTCCTGTTGTTTCACGTAACAGAGCTACAATAAGATACGATTTGAGACTACCGAAGTAGTTATTCCTTTAATATAGCTGGCTGTATTAGGACATTACAGGCAATGTTGACGATTAATGAGCAGGACTGATTTACAGGAATTTTACATGAATGTGATGAAGTACTTTAGTATGTGACGTCTATAATTGACTGGACTAACCAAAAACAGGCATTCCCATCTGGGTATTTAATCTATTAACATTTTTAGGAAATTCACGACTTTAGGCTATATATTGCTATTGCAATATTAAAGTACAAATACTGTATAATGATAGTTTTTCATTTTAGCTCTTTATTTATCGATGTCCCAAAGCAGAACTCCACGGTAACAAATCTGCCTGCAGAGTCCGGCCATATTGAGGTCTGCATGACATCAGCGCTGTAGATTGTTTTATTTTTCCCCTTAAACAAGGCCCATTAAGTTTTGTTGCAGTGAAAGTGCTGAGGGCAATGTTGTAGTGCCCTTTTAAAGCCATGCACGCCATTGTTTGTGCCCCTCTTACCAGGTGATTAAGCAGTGCCAAGGGAGGCATTAGGAAATGTGCTCTTCTCATGCAACCCAGTACCACCTTATGCTATGATCTGGGCTTTTGGTGGTGCATAGGTTGGCCTGAAATGGGGATAGGGCAAGTGTCGCTGACGTCAAGCTGTGCGGAAAAGGGCGTTTGAATTTCTTCTCTGCACGAACTCAATCAATATGGTCCCAGGCAGGAGGGCTGTGTCATAATAAAGACTGGGAAAAAAAGTGTTGTTACTTTTTACATTCTTAAGCAAAGGGAATAAATTCTAGAAAAGAGGTTAGTTTGAGATGGCTAGCTCCAGTGAGTGACAGTTAATGGTCTGGGCAAATAGAAATAGCCACCGCTGCGTGGGAAAGCAACTATAGTACGTGTATTCTAATGCATGAGTACGTGTGTGGACTTGTGTACTTTGGACGCTTAAAATAATACATCTTCGTTTAAGGGGGAAAAAAAACATGTTAAGATATTTATATTTTATGAAACAGAGGCCTTTTGAGAGTCTCCTTTGTCACTGTTGGCTTGCTCCAGAGTGTCCTTTGTAAGCATTAGCATTCCTGGACTTTCCCATTGCCAGAAAGCTACATTTTCACAGGATGAGATTGTCAAAGGCCACGTCCCTCCTACTTTATGCTCCCGAGCCCCTGCTTTAGGCGGGGAGAGGTTAATGACAGAAGGCCACAGTTATAGGTGACAGAAACTCTGAGGAATTTACAAAACCCATTGCTCTGCTAATGGCTGCTATGTGTCTAGCCTTCCTCCTCCTCTATCCACCTCTATCTGACAGAGATCAGGGAACGACTGAGATGCCCTTTGCTCTGCTCCCATTTTTGGCCAACTTTTCCTCCCTGTTCTGATTTGTGGCAGGGAGTCAGATAAGTCGCATCTAATTTCAGCTTTCCATGCCAAAAATATTGTTCATCAAATGTTGCCACTGCACAAGGAGTAGCTAAAATGCTGACATCTAGTATTGCCTCTTGTCTCTGAGAAGTCACAGAGGTCTCACTTTTGTACATGATGTTACTTGAATGTTCTCTGCAGCATTACTGGCTCTGTGCCAAACATATGAACCCTATCATTAGAGATTAGGTTTATATACCGAACACATTAGCCTAACTTTTATTCGAGAAATCTGTTACATTCACCTGTGTTTTGAGTGTTTCAGTCTGCGTATGCTTTGTGTTTTCATGGTTATGATTTGTGCTGTGAAAGGAAATACTAATTTGAATGTTCTGCATCTCTCCTCTTCCTCTATCTGACTTTTATTTTATTCTCCCATTTCTTACTTCTAGTATGGGGATGTTTTGAATGTGATTGTATCGAGTAAGAAGAAAGGAAGCGCTGTGGTCGAATTTGCAACTGTGAGAGCAGCTGTAAGTACCTAACTCTTCCCCTGTCAGTGTCCTCTTTCTGTTTGTTCAAAAATGAAAATCTGTTCCAAAGAATACATTTGCATAGAACCACATTTGTTTACCGCTCACTTGCCTCCAAGTCTCAGGTCACCTGCTGAGTTTGATTATTGCTAAGAATGACACCTGTCATAGACTTCCCAGCCTCAGGACAGTTTCTGAAACCCAAACTGATGTTTTAGTCATTCTGTAGTGTAGAGATCTCCGTGCTGATGGAAACCATTGGACGGAAGGACTTGAGCCGCCTCATTGTTCCAAACTGTCTGGATCCTCAGGCATTTGTCGTGATGTTGTACTTTTTTGTTGTGGCTTCCTCACCACCGCGTGTGGTTTCCGTCCAGAGAACATGCCAGTCTACAGGGATCTGGGCACAGGTTCTGTGGTCTCTGCCTGCCCATTTCCAGGTCCCAGCCTTGCTCTGGGTGTTGGCCCAGTTACAATCCACCTTTTGTCCTTGTCTACATGTGTTTTTCATATGTATATTATACCAACAGTCGCTGCACAAATACCCAGGTGTAAGATGTACACAATGCAATTTTTTACAGATTTCAGGACATGGAGAAACATTTATTGTCCTAATAAAATACTGGCAGAGATACCATCAGAAGATCCACTCACCAATTATTTTGTGTTTTTTGCCTTGTAGGAGTTGGCAGTCAAGAATGAAAGTGGCCTGAGTGAAAACCCCTTGAAGATTTCATGGCTTGAAGGACAGCCCGAGGTTTTAGCTCCAGTATCTCAACCTGGCAACTTTATGTCTTCACAGGTACCACTCTAATCCCAAAATGCATCGTTGTAATTCCCTCCTACTCTCGGCCCCATGTTACAAAATCTTCCCATGTACACAGGTTCCAACACAAATACTATTGTATAAACACTATCCCCGAAAGTGAGGTATGTAAACCTTCTAAAGTTTTATTTTCGTATCAGTGGTGCAAATATTGCCCCAGTGCTTGCGCTCCCCTTGTCTGTCCTAGAACAATGTGTTTGCATAAATGGACCTCAGTTTATTTGCTTTGGAGTGGTGAGGCACTGGCCCGGCACTAGCCCAAAGCCCCTGGTCGGGACGCTCATTAACAGGCCTGACCTGGGAGACCCCAGGAATGCTGCGTTTCACATAGCAACCCAGAAGAAGCAGTGTGCAATAATGGTAGCCTGGCACGTGAGACTCACTAAATTCCTGCATTGTTGCCAAGTGAGTCTGGTTCTCTATTGCTATTGATACTTAAATAGTTTTTCGTAAATAGTGTGTTTATTTATTTTCTACCGTTTTAAATAATAATTAGTTAAATAATAATATAATAATATTTTTTAGAGGGAATGTGGTTTCTAATTCTGAATTTAAAGAATTTACTTTCTGCAGGCCAAAGGTTTGCTGCACAAAACTACAATGCTTTATTGTGAAAAACTTGAAAATCTTAAAACATTTTCTCTTTGATGTGCTGCTTCATGTGATTTGGAAATCACAGTAGTCCATATTGCAATCTCAACTTTTTTTAATTGATTTTGCACGCCTTATGTTTTGTCTTTTCCTGCCAAGTACACATGCAGACACCAAAGGCGCATTAACTCTTTTCCTGTTCAAGGATAATCTAATTTCAGCTATATCCACTGAGAATCTACAAAGTTTTTCTTTCTTGTCATTCGATTAGTATGAAGTAATGTTTTTTTTCTCTGCAGTGTCCATTTTACTTCTCCTACGTTGTGATCTTTACCTGTGAGGGATTGCAGATCAGTAGACTTTATCTACACTTATCTATGTCTCCAGAGCTGCTGCTGAACTGGATTTCACCCCTCCACCCAGCGCAGTGTCTCAGACCCCCTCGTCAAGGCTAGCATGTGAGACTCCCAGCTTGCACACTGGGACTTGTCACACTAATCTCTTTAAATGTTATTATGGTAACCTGGTTTGCCTTACAGATTTTTTTGTCCTGCCCCTGAGAATGAAAACATTACTATGGCCGGGTAATTTTCGCATTAGCCCTCAGCGAGAATACTTGCTAAAGAGGCCCCACATGACATAATGGTTTAACCATTGTAGATATTAGTAATGTTGTTCCACATCTGGCCTGGGGTCAGTGGACATGGGGGGCATTTGAGAAAGAGATATAGAGGTAATAAGAAGCCAGTGCCTTGGAGGTCCTTCTCGTCGGACTCTATCTTAAATCTAAAAATCAGATTCCCCTTCTGTCATCTACCTCTCCATTACTCTCTCACACTAGCCAGCTGCAATCACATAGGAGCAGCTTGGGTGAGGACTTGCTTCTTTAACCTCATCAATCCAAACATCGTGCTCAGAGAGTCAGGGTCTCACTACAGGGAGCTCGGAGACACAGACGTATGACTTCATGGTGCCTCAGGTTCAGTTCCAGATCTGCTCAGCTTAATAATTAATCTGAGGCCAATGTGAAGGGCAAACAGAGTGTAGGGTTTGCACATCCCAAAAACTTCTGAAGGTTCAAAAACGGATTGCAAAAACACACTGTACTGAGCAAACTAACAGATCTAACAGAGATCATAAAACGGAACAATATATATATATATATATACACGCAAACACATTCATCACTCAGGTGGTTGTGTTCTGCATGACTAAGAGTCACTCTGCTCTCAGTATAGACCAATCAGTAGCACTGGATTCAGCACTGGACCCAGCTCTGCTCTGATTGGTCCATAAATTAAATTTGCCGGGAGCTATCAGTACAGCGTGCAGATCGTTTCTCAGGTTTTTTGCCAATGTGAAGGGCCTGAGTGGGGGACACAAATTCCTCTTGAAGACTCCCCCTGAGGGTCCTGACCTTGAACATTACTAACTGTACCATGATATGCTTTTCCCTGCTCTCACAGACTGACACTGAGGAGACCTGTTGAACTGTTTTTGTTCTGCTTTTCCAGAAAACCGATATGACATGATATGATTTATAACGGGCCCCCACTGCATTTACCCAGATTTTCTCACCATAGATATTAAAAATTTCAAAATAGGGAAGGGCCACATCTTTCACACTGTGTGGAATTGCTCCCCGTGCTCCTGACTTAATTCAGACCCCTCTTTTGGGAAAATATCTAGTTTCATCTCCAGGCTGTTCTTTGTTGTTTTTTTACCCTTTGACTTAATAAACTGTAATAGTTAGAGATTGAGAAACGGGCAGCTTTATGAAAGAAGTGCTTAAGTCATTCTCATTAGTGCAAGCATTTATTTTAGCATTGTAGTGTACACAGTTGCAAATCTCAGTGAATCCTGAATGAGTCATGGTGACTGAATCAACCTGAAGTAAAGAAAATAAACAGTTTATATTAATAGTGTGGTAACCAAAACACTGCAGGGCTCAGATAATGTACATAAAAATGAACTGTTAAATAAGAACGGTACTGTCTAGTTTCTGCATCAAAATATGACTTCTCATATGTGGCGGACTTTATGGATTGCACAAATCTGACTAATGATCTCACCTCCCAACTTGACTCAGATATGGAATCCAATCTAACCATCTGCTTTGTCTTTACCAGACGTAATATTTGTTTTCTCCGTAGATGTAACTTGATCATTAATCACTGTGTCGTGATTCATGGTTTATTGCGCAGTTTAGCTTTCCATAGTATTTAAAGTGAATCCATTGTGAAGGATTTAAATTTGAGCTTTCTACGCCTGCTTCTTCCATCTAGAGCCATGAGAGTCCTCACAGGCTTGTCACGACACAAACCAGATGCAGCGGATCAGCTATTCTGGGATTGTTTTTCCTGCCTGCCGGTTTGCTGGTGCTTGAAAAGTGCACTCTCACCTAAAATAGCTACTGAGTCTTGAAGAGATGCGCTGTATGTGGCCCTGCTGTTTGCATAATAAACCCTCTTTGAATGGCAATAACGGGCCTCTTGGAGGGAGACCAACAGGGTTCTATATTTTTTATGATCAGGTCCAAAAGGAGGAAATCATGTTATTATAATTATTATTATTATTGGTTAGTATCTGATATTAAAATTGTGTACCAGGTTTGAATGGATATAGTAAACAGAGAAAGACAGTAAACCTCATAATATGAGGTTGGAGCTGTTGGTGATATATCATGTATGTACAACAGGACACTTAAAGAGCAAAAGACTACAGTATAGAAAAGTTACAGTGGTTTGGGATAACATGAAATATATAGACGTGTTTTTGTATTCTCTCATTAGACATTGCCTGGGGTGATTAAGGTGTGGTCAGAATTTCAAAATTGTTGTGGTACGCCCAAATCATGCGTGTAATGAGAGAGGTTAACTGTTGTGGACTGGCTTGGCCCTTACCATCAATAGCTTGATAATATGTTCTGACACGATGCAGACGGCATAAACAATATCAGTTTCACAAAATCCCCTTCTGTGTGTGAACCAGTGTCTCAGCAGCATCAGACTGTACTGCAAAAATGCATTTACAGTAGGAGGACATCTCTTATTTGCCAAAACAATATTTTTTGTTTTTTACAAAATAAATAAGTCATAAGTCCTCTCCTCAGTGAGATGACAGGGTTTTCGGTATTCTGTATGACAGCAAGTTTAGATTATTGGAGGGAGAGAAGTGGTACCAGATGTGATTGGGATACTTCACAGCTCGGCCAGTTTGTGCAGTGCAGACAAGATAATTTGTCTTCAATTACAGACTCTTTCTTCTCGCATCAGTCATGTGGCTGAACACTTGTTGAGCTTAACTTCATATGATTTTTCACACTGAGAACTCGTAGCAGTCAAGGACTCTGCTCTGCAAGAAGTCCAGAAAAAAAAGTAAAAATGTGAAGGTATAATGAATAAGGATGGGCTTGCAAGATGTGTCAGTGTTTTTTTTTTTTATAATTTAAAAAAAAGTACACATATACTTTTGTATATATATTTGTAACATCAGTAGTGCAATCATTTGTTTCCACAGTGTCTAGTATATGCCTGGCTGACACTGCACAATTTTTCTTTCTGTTGTGAAAAAAATAGAAGGTATAATGAATAAGGATGGGCTTGCAAGATGTGTCAGTGTTTTTTTTTTATAATTTAAAAAAAAGTACACATATACTTTTGTATATATATATATATTTGTAACATCAGTAGTGCAATCATTTGTTTCCACAGTGTCTAGTATATGCCTGGCTGACACTGCACAATTTTTCTTTCTCTTGTGAAAAAAATAGACTTTGATCATTAAGGGCCATTGTAGCAGACAGGGTAACACTGTCCAATGTAAAGTCTGTGTAACTGAATAGCTCTTTCTCTTGCTTATCTGGAAAAAGTTGCCTGTATATAAAAGTCTGACAAACTAACACACCCTAGTTAGCTATTGAACTCTGTGTAATACAGGTGTGCCTCAGAGCAGGGCTTACCTAACAGCTCAGCAGTTGCTCCAAAGTCCAGTTTAATGTAACACAGTATTTATGTTTCTACATTAAATCCTGCTTGACATGCCTGTCTAATTTAGGCTTGTGTGTCTCTCCACCCTGAAACGATATTGTGCTGCTTGTTGTGTTGGATAATCCAAGGCTATAATTTTTCTGGAAACTGTTAGGTACACTGTAAGTGACTGACAACGCTCATTGCCCACACAGTGGCTGCTGATGGTTAAAAAGCCAAATAAATGTCTGTCCATCAGGGTGTGTAAACAGTCTCATACAAGCTTTCTTAAAATGTTGACACAAGCAGTTCTATTCACAAAACCACCAATCGTGGAATTTGAACGATATTTTTCTTTACTTCACCAAAATACAGCAGTACATTTTTCAATGCATATATGTTTCACAATGTGTTATTGTCATAACATATACAAAAAAAAAAGGGGTAGTGATTTCCAGTTTAAAATGGGAGATGTCAAAACAGATATACAGTGCAGATGTACCCACAAACATCGCTGTCCCTGGACATACATAGAGTTCTAAATCCATTGCCAGAAGCGGGACACTTGTGGTTCGTATATTTTGCAGCATGACCCGTGGGGAACTAAGGAATTTGGCTGGTTCTGGGTTTACCCCACAGCCTTTCCTGGCAACCCCCCCACCCTCAGTAAGGCAAAGACTGAGGCTCTGTCCTGACTCTCTCCTTATCCAGACCTGAGGAAAGTGCATCTTGATCGACCCAAATCTCAGTTCCATGCTCACATACACATGCATGTGTGTTTCCCTTGACTTGTGCACCAGTGTATGTGAGACACAAGCATGTATTTTTCACGTGTCAGGTGGAGGGGGGGTCTGTTTGGTCAGAAGGTAATGTTTAAACCCTCATCAGGACTTTTGCTGCAGTAATGGATGTCTCTGGTCCTCCTCCCTCGACACCCCCCTGCATATGTGGAAGTATCACGTTACCCTTTACCACTTTCCCTCTCGTGTGCCACTCACAAGAGTATCGGACTCTTGATTTGCAGCTAAGAAAACACCCTGCTCTTTCTTTTTTTTTTTTTTTTAAGGTCTTGGACCTGTGGCCTGGCTTGGTCTGCAGCCCAACCTGCCACTACTGGCGGGCTTTTATTGGAAGCAGAGCTAAGTGTTTGTTTTCACTGCATTGTTGGGAATGAGAGATGGGGGGTACCTTGGTCTACCTTTGAGTGGGGCCTCTGGGATGCGTGCGGAGGCAAAATTGCCCTCTGCACACAATAGATTGGCAAGCACGCTAAGAGCCAAGACATCGCAGCTCGAGGACCTTGGATTCCAGCTGCAGCTTTTCTTTTCTTAAACACAACACTCTTAAGTCTTAACAGCCGTCTTCAGTGCTGTGGCGTGTGGTTTGGGGGATTACATTAGCAAAGGAGGGAAGTAAAAGAAGAAATGTCCAGCTTGGGGTTTGACATCAGTTTGTCCAATTATTAATTTAAACATTGGATTGACTTCTACAAGGGGTCAATCTAAGGAGAACATTAACTTTCAAACAAGAGATTATTTTTACTTTTTACAAATGCTATGGACCCCAGTGTACTGTAGACACAATATCTGGTGCTATATAAAAGAGTAAGCTCCTTACCCTACAAATCTGCTGTGATGTGTGATTCAAAAAGTACGTAGCATGTTTTACTGAAATACTGATAAAAGACAGTCTTTTCAGTGTAATACTTAACCTCCATTAAAAGTTCTCTCCAAAGTGTGTATATTACTACTAGATGCCCAGGCATCATAAAATAAGATATCTACAGTTTATTTGAACAATAACCATTACTTGAGGAGAAGTGTGTCATACAGAACAGTTCGAGTTCTCCATATTCCAGACTTTTAGTAAAGGCTTCCTGCAACCCTTGGCTGCTATCTTGTCTAATTGTGGAGTTTGTCCATCACCTGGAGAACATCATCCAAGATTGAAGGGCCCAGGTCGAGGCTAAATGAAAAGCCACTGTCCTCATCCTTTGGCTGTCCAGCACTTTTATCACAGGTGTCCCCGGAGTCTCCATCCTTGTCTGAGCTCAGGCTGCCCCATCCAGGTCTGTGAGTCTGACTGGAAGCAACGATATTCCCTCTTTGGCACCCATCCTCCTTTTCCATCTCTATGTCTCCTTCCTCGCTGTCCAGAAGTGGCATAGAGCTACATTTCTTTCTCTTCTGGGACACGCTGTGCTGGTGGTTTCGGTGCCAGTCGGGGCTCTCAGAACCGTCTGCCTCATCCAGGTTTAGACGCGGAGGCTTGGGTGGCGCCGAGCAGGCCAGGAAGAGATTCTGCTCGCTCTGGGAGCTTTGTAGAAGCAGACCGTGGTCCATTTTTAAGAAGGACAGATCTCCAAAGCTGTCCGTATCGGCATCGTTGCCAATATGTGAGATGTGGCGGAAATCGGCCAGTGGTAAACTAATCATATTTACAGACAGCACCTCCCTGCGTTTGGAATTCCTGCTGGACCAACGACCAGAGGATGGCTTTCTGTACAACGATGTTCTAAGTGGCATCTTGGCAGATTTGGTTGAAATAGGCTCAAATGTTTTTATGTATCCTCAAAAGTCTTTGTATCCTTTTGTATTCTCTTTTGTTTGACAATGAATCCTTAGGAAGTGGTGAAGCTTAAACACATAATGCCATCTGCAACAAAACATAAGAAAAGAGAAATTATTTATTTTATTAATTTAAATTTACAATGGTCTCATACTTAGTTCTCTATTTTTTAAATGCACTATAAATCAGTTTGATATCATTAAGGTTTCCCTCTCATCTTGCTAGAATATGGAGCAGGCCTGTGCTTGTGCTCGTCATGTAATTCAGCACCAGATGTAAGTATTGGACTGGATCAGTCGGCTTGATGTGAATCGGCAGCCATTGTTCAGAGATTGCACCTGCTCCACCTGATTTTGATTTAATAAAATTCAGCATTATTTGGCAGCATGTTCCAACAATGCTTTGAAGCTTTCATTTCTAAATATTTACTTTTTAATCCCTGTTCTTTCCCCATAAATGCAGGTGTGGTCTGCCGCCTATCCTCTGAAGGAAGTCTATTAGCCTACTTGAGACTTCCAGTAACAAAAGGAACAAAAATGCAGATTCCCAAATGGTTTTACCGTAACTTCTGTCAGAAATCATGATGATAACTTCACTTTGGAACACATGTTAATGATTTTGTGAAAAATACAGATATGTGGGAGGCAGTCAGTTTTATTTTGCCGTGGTGGATTTATGCAGTGACTCTTCATAAAATGAAATATCTTTATTCCATAAATAACAAGGCATTACATTTCAAAATAAGTTTTATGTTTTGCATAGTATTTTAGGGATTTTATATTGTTAAAATTTCAAAACAAAAACAAAACTTAAAAGGAAACATCTTGCTCAAAAATGAAAACCATACACTAATACTTATAATGAAAGTCAAACTTTGTAAAAAAAGAGAAAAAAAGAACTGTTTTGTGTTCCGTGACCTGTAATCATTTTATTAAGTAAAACAGAACTCAGTTCATCAACACTGGCGATTAGATAATCTATTTAGTGTCTGTGATTTAACAGTCTTCCAAACAGCTTTGCCCACATTAGATCTGTGTTCGTGACTTGAAACACTCACTCTGTAAATTTGTAAGCCACTACAGCAAACAGGTTTTGTTGGCCTATAAAGGTTTTACCGGCACTTTAGTAGCAGCGGGAGATTGTAGAGCGTGGACACAACAGCATTCCTTTCCAAACATGTCAGTTTGGCCAAGGAGGAGTCTTAGGATTTCAGCCATGAGTCTCATGTTCAGGAAACACTTCATGGCCAAGTAAAAATTAAAGAAGCCCATTAAAACAGATTGGCCAAGAAACTTTCTTTAAATTATCTTCCTCAGTGCTGCCATAAATGATCCACCTTTGAGACAGATGAGGAATCCGTCTGATGAAAACTTTAACCACTAGTTAAAAGCAATTAATTTCAAGATTTTCCTTTTCATGCAGTTGTTTGTCGAGTGGGATAAATAACAATAGAATACATCAAGACTGATTAGTTAGTTCTTACCTGTCTCGCTGAGCAAATACAGGATATTTGAATCCCTCACATGCACACACGTCTCTGTCAGGAAACTAGACAGCGTCTACCTGCACACCCCGACAAACTCTTCCCTGACATGATGGGGCTTGTTCAACTGTTACAGGGAAGACTTGATTGTACAGTCTTGAAACAGAGAAACAGAGTCAGTTAAAATGGAAATTTCGCCAGTGACACAAGCAAGTGAACTTTTACATTAAATCGTAACATTTAAGGGTCTCTTACCTTTGTCTATGCTGCTACTTAGGTGAGTCTTGTCAGCCCTCAGACATTAAACCCCCCCCTCTTTTTTTTTTTTTTTTGTTAATCCGTCCCAGTGTAAACTCCCTCTTGCATTGCAGAGCTCTCCAGGTGTGTCGCCGGTGAAAGTCTTCTTATGCCTAAGAGATAAGCCAGGTGAGGTCAGAGTACAAGAGCGTTAAGACTTCCAGGTGGAGCCTTTTCTTCAAATTTTCTTTCTTAAGGCTTTTCTTAGTTTATATTAGCAGTCATCCCCCTTTAGAATGGTTGCCAGCCGTCAGATGATATCATCCTGGTTGCGGTGTGAGTTGACCTTTTAGTCACAAGTGTTAAACTAAGTCCTGCTGGTTGGTTGGCTGCACCCATTACCTGTGAGACAGTGGGTGTGAAGCAGGAGCTGCTGATTTGATTCCTTGATATTGAGAAAGACCGAAATGTGGGAGAAACTACAGAGGCGCACGACTCAGTTCTGGAGCTAATTGTGTTGGAGAGACGGGGAGAGTGAGAGAGGTTGAGTTTGAATAGGTTTTTGAGTGCACAGCAGGTTGTGTTTGAAAGTGTGTGTTTCATAGATTGCGTGCTTGTATCTAAAAGGAAGTTGTATTTAGTGAGCAAACAGGTCAGTCACCCAGAGGGTGGGGGTTAACTGATCCGTAATCTCCATGTCATTGTCCCTCTACTCTGCTCATTTCCTGATTTCCTGCTTACTGTTGGCTTGTCTAAAGCCTTGCAGTCCAGCCCACTCCACAGGCCCTTCTGCCTGAATGGAGGCCTATAGCTTTGCTATGTAATCAAAACACACTATCGCACACAGACATGTATGTACAGGCACACAGCACGCTCGGTTGCACAAGAGAGATAGAATGTTGCAGTTCCAATTCTCACACCTCCATCTTGTTGTCTTTGTCTTTTGAATGCTACAGCAATACAATCATCAAAATTTTGTCCAAACAGCAAACTTGTTTCTGCTCTATATGTTTGTGTTAAAAAGAGCAGGGTTAAAGTATTTTGTTGTGCTCTCACAGGCATTAATTGTTACTTGTCTTTATCATGCCCTTTTAGTTTTCTTGGTGGATGGTTTGAAAGGATTTATTTTTTAACAGTTTAATCTTCTACAACCTGTGTCCCCATTTTTTAAGGATACTCGCCATCGTGCTCTCATAGAGGTCTTATAATGAACGCTGTGTTCCAGCAGAAAGGAGGACACGTCTGTGTATCCCTTTGTCCCGAGTCTCAATGCCTCTCCTTGTTCACTAAACTTAAACATGCTGGGTGTGAAGGAAAGCGACAAATGGTATCCTTCACTGCTCCTCCAGTGCTTTCAAATTGATCCAATAAACAATAGGCGTGCCGTCTGAGCCTTTCTTGTTCTCCCACTCTCCCCTCCAGCGCCAGAAACAGTCTGCAAGACCAGACACAATTACTCACGCAAATGAAATTATCATAACATTTACTCAAGACTGAAACAGAACATTTTCGAACATTTCTCTTCTGAGAAACCCCCTCCTTCTTCCACCTACAACCACAAAACTGCTTTCATGCTAGAAGACAATCAGGGTGAAGAGCTAGTGTTATCTGTGGTATTTGGGAATGACCTCACAAGACCTGCCAGCTGACCATGGTTGGGCTCACTGTTAGTTGTGTTGTCATGCTATGCAGCCTCTGGGATGATGCGTTTAGCCCTAGCTGGATTTCTGTATAAGCCTCTTTTCTAAGGCCTGACCATAGTGGGCAGTGTGGTTCGATGCAGCTATGCTGGGCCTGAAATCTGGGATGCTGCGTGTTTTTGTTGTTGCAGGATAAAAAGTGTTTCCAGATATTGCTTTGACTGGCGCTAGAAGCCCAAACTGAGGCTTTGGTGGATATTCTTCTGGCCCTTTTGTTGTGTGTTCTCCAGCTTCCGCTGTATCAAGGCCCTAAGACAGCCAGCATTTAAACTAGATTTATAGCAAGAACTGTCTGATTCTTGTATATGAAAAACATTTTTCGATGACGACAAATGCAGGACACATTGCAATTCAGTTTTAAAAGTCAACGTTACTGGTAGCTTTGCACTGTCCTTTCTAGTGAGAACATCCAAGTATGCATTTGTCATCATCCTAACTATTGTCGTCACTGTTTGTCTCCAAAGTTATGACTCAATGATGAGCTTTTTGAAGGCGCTCCAACAGAAACTTGGCAGTCTGGCTGCTCAGACAAAGTGAAGACACTCGGTTGCATGACTGCCACATGACAGATATCTGAAACTAGTCAAAGTCCAGGTGTTCAGTTATATATAAGTATATATAAGTGCAGACTAACCAACCCATGAAAAAGCTTACAGTAGCCTCTAATCAACAAAGTAAGGTTACTTCAGGTCCAACACAGTAAGGAGGTGAATAGGCTGGATAATTAATGGAAGGCTAAACAGAAATGTCTGCTGAGGTCATTTTTATTCATGTCTTGTGATGCCTTTTTTTTTTGCCTTCCAGCACCGTCCTACATTGTTAACATTTACAAATTGAAGACTTGACTCTACAATGGACTAAAAGATAGAACTCACAGCATCTGTTTATCTATCAAACATATATTAAGTTTTTAAGGGGAATTTTAGTGGGTGAAAAAAAAAAACATTCTATGGAGCTGCAATATCTTCCCTTTAAATCTGATCCCTTTCTGTCTTTCTCAACTATCAACTGTCCAATAATGGCAACATATCCCCCTCCAAAAAATATGTTATATAATAGTAATTTTGTGCTGTTATACAGAGAGATCTTATACTTGTTTTGATCTCCTTGTTGCGCCCACAGACTTACGAAATGTTTAGAGCTCTCCATTTAGTTTTAGCTGGATTGAGTTAAAAACATTTAATGTACATATGCATAACTCATAACATACAGTTTTTTTCCAGTGAATGTGGGCGGTCAGTGTAGACTGGGAATGCACCGCTTTGTCTCCTGGCACTGAATCATTAGTAATTATAAGATCATGGTTGGGATATTTAGATTACTTTGAAGACTGGAGGTATGATGTAAACAGTCTGTTTGTTCTGCACATTAACTAGATAAGGAACCATGTTGATATGGGAACATGTACATACACAGCGCGCACAGATATTTTACTTTTTTTTGTTTGGAACTTTGATCTAATTTTCTTTTCTTTTTTTCCTCCTCATAATGCCTGAGCTTTTGACATCTCAAGGTTCGGGCTGCAATCTTAGTCCTGTGGCCCCTTTTGTTTTAAAGAGAAATCTGTTGCAATCAGAGGGCTTTTCCCGGAAGGCCAGGATGTGAAAGACATAATTTTGCTTCTACAGCGATGTTTTGTTGGATATTAAAAAGGCCAAACCCCCACATCTCCCTATTCTAGGATCCCTGAGCTCATCCATCATAAAGAGAAATGCCAGGGCACCAGGAGTTCAGGTCTTTGCTGCCATTTCTCTTTTCACTGTTTATTTCCTTTACTTTAACGGTTTCCAAAGGCGCTCCACATCTCCATCCAACAGACTTTTATTCTGTCCAATACCGTGACCACGTATAACCACATGCGTAAAAGTCCACACGCCTACTTACATGGCACCTCACATCCACTCCCGCCTTTTTTCCCTGCGCTTTACCTCTGAATGTTATTGACTGAATCTGCAGTCCACACGCAACTACCACTATCTGCACACAGTGTCCATTCAGGCACTGTACTGGGTTTGCACATGATTGTGTAAAAGATCTGCGTTTTATATCTGATTGACAATCTTTAGAAATCAGAACTATCTGACTTTGATTTGAGAAAGCAGGACAATATGCAGGGTCAAATAGCTGTATTTAACATACCTATATTTTACCTGCCATATCTCTATGTAAATTCTGCAGCTTGTATATGAAATAATCATCACAATCAATGATCTGTAGGCGTGTGCACTGTGACTAGATCTGCAGCCTTTTTCTGCTCAGACACATGCTGTCAAATACAAGGAGGTCTTGTCTCGGAGTTCCGTTCAAAAACCAGATGTTTGCAGGACATGTGTATGTGAAGGGTTAAATACAGGAAGTCGATTTGGGCCTTAATCTCTATGTAGTGTTTGTTCTTCACTAACAAAAACGGTATAATAGACCAGACCTTTGGGGTTTTTATGTCTGCCGAGTCTCATAATGAATGATGATTAATCCTGTACCATTTACAAAGCTTGAGTTTTGTCTACAGAGGAATTTCATCTTGGCTCCAGCGTTGCATGTGTAGTACCCCTGCTCGCTGTCTGTTTGTTTGAGTTAGCAGGAGTGCTCAGGCACCCACACACATATACATACACACACACACACCACACACAACACACACACACCACACACACACACACACACACACACACACACAAACTCACACATGAATGATCTCTAAATGTGTTCGCCTCTCATAAATCACCTACTCCATAGCTGGGTGACATAAACACACACATATAGAAACACGCACTACCCCACCACACACTCCAGATAAATAGTTCCTTGATTAACTTCAACAGACTGCATTAGAGGCAGAACTGTTTGCCTGGACCCCACAGAGTAGGCTTGTTAAGAAAA